GGCGGGCAAAGCAAAAAAATGCGCCCTCTGGGGCTTAAAGTTTGAAACATAAACACGTCTAAAACACAAATAGTATAAAAGTGATAGGCCCTTGGCACTAACGGTTCGAACTCGTCAGGCGAAGTTTGCCGATAGTCGACGGATGTATCTGAGTGCTTACGATCGCGCAAATGTGCCTGCATTCCGTTCAATCACCACAGCTCCCATTGCCCGACCGCTCTCATTACCCCGTGTTCCCCTATTATTTCTATCTATTACGTTAAAAATCATTATTCAATTCCATAAGGTTTCAGAGATCTAACTCAAAATACAAAGCATTGATATATTAAAAGGGGAAGATATGTTACACGCTAATATCGCAATCACTAAACCTGGGCTCGGCGCACGACTACAAGCACCAAAACTTACACATCTGTTATCGTAACCGCAAAATTACATTTAACGATAGACAAGGACAGAAATAGGAAACGTCGTAGTTGTGCGAGCGAAATCGCCTTAGCCGCCGAATGTTTATGATTATGAATGACATCGTGGTAGCGTTAGCTAATAAATAACGAAAGAAAAACATTAAGTAGTTTAATTATTAATTAGGTACATCAAAAAAAGAAATAATAACAGTATTTATTTTATATTTTTACTAAATAAGACACTTAGATGAATTAGAACTTATACACCTTCAAATAAAGATAATTTGTTTCGTTTTTGTCGTTTTGTTGTACTTGATATTGCCGGATCTATTTTATGAAAATAATGGACTCTGACATCACAGTATTTGTAACTATTGCCTTCAAAAGATGTATTCTATGGTTGAATGTAGCTGGTTGATCTAATGAATAAATTTCTAAAGCAGACGGAATATCTGAATTCACAAAATATTGTATCACATTTAATTTTAGTCGAAGTATTTGCTTCACACAAAGAAAATGTTGAGTATGGTTTTCTCTAAAAAACATTTTAATTGTTCTTTCGGACTTAAGGCATATCTTGAATAAATCATAAGATGGATAGCCGCCCATATCCTTTAAATTAATTAATTTATGAAAACTTAGCTTTTCATTAGTAATCAACTCCGTAACACATATCTCATATTTAATTGTTTTTATTAATGCCCTTGCGACCCACCTATATATCCTATTATTTGTTCAGCACTTACTGACAGTTTATTTTAATTGTTTAAGATATTTGATAATATTTCCACATTATTTTCGGCTGTAATATCACTTACATGACTTCTGCTTCCTTTTATATCTCTCACCCGGATATATGATCCACTACGTGTAACTTTGTGCTTTTTAAATGATTCACCGCCATAAATATCTGCCATAGAATAATCTTCAACAGCACTTACCAAATCTTGAGCATTTCTACCAACAGTTCTATTTATGTTTTCGACAGCCGAGGAGCACGTAAGTAGTGGAAAATTATCAAGTGGTATACAATTTCCCGAGAGAGAAGAACGCAGTTCTAAGTGTCCTAACACTTTTCTATAAATTCCCTGAAATTGTCGTACATTTGGGTTATTATTATAACCCCCCTGCTGGCGAATTATTCCGAAAAATAATTCGAGATGGTCTTGGCTTAGTCTGTATGTCGAAATATATTTCAGCAAGCCAGTTTCAACTAATGTTGAGTAAATGTGCTTTAGGCTCTCTATACATATAATAAACCCAATAAAACCAGTTTTACAGGCAGATTGAGTTATGTTCTTTTTTGTTATGTTCATTGTAACTTTATGTCTGGTAATTCGTCTATTTTTATTTAAAAATTTTTAAGAACAAATATAATCCTTCATTTCATTCAGAAATTTAAAAATCATTTCTTTATTATCTTTACAAAGTGGTTTCTTAAAACCATACCGGTCACGATTTCGTGAATTCATGATATCGAATAGATGGTTAAACTTTTCAATAAACTGTACTGTAACTCCTGTGTTAACAAAGCGTGTTGAGGAAAGTAATTGTTCACACAGTATTAATGCGTGTGCTACACTTCGACTGAGGAGCTGGGTAGCGAGCTTTACTTTCATTATTTGATTACGGAAGTCGATATGCTTTGGTGTTAATTTATTTGCAAAAGTAAGCGTTTCACTGCTTTGTAGTTTTAATAAATTTATTAGAAATTGCCACTTTACTTCTCGATTCTCATGGTCAAAAAACATTCTTTTGGACTCGAATGTGTTTCTTACAAGTTTTATCATGTGACATGGATCTAAAAAAACAGCAACATCCATGTTACATGATGGGTGTCTGAAGGTTGTTTTTAAGTTTACGACATTATTAAGATTACAACCTAATAGATTAGCGGCATTAACATTAGACGAACAGCCGTCAAACGTTAATGCAACTACATTAACGCCTACCTCCCAGCACTTTGTTAAACAAATTTTAATTAAGTTTGACTTAGTCTCAGATGTGTGTCCGTCAACGAAAAAATATCCGACAGGTAGTTTCCAGTTCTCGTCTAGACAAACAAGCATCATCACAAATGCTTGTGAAGCAACCCTGTCGACGTCTAAGCCTCCAGTTCCGTAATTGACTAAACCTAAAGTTTTTCTACCATTCCAAACGGTTTGCTGTCGAATAGCCATTTCATCCACAACTAATGTACAATAAATGTTTTTTTGGGAACCGGATTTTTTATTTTTAAGAACCTCGAACGCTTCAGCAGTAAATCCTGGCTCTGCATTTAAATTTTCATACCATTTTCCTAGCGTTCGAGGGTGAGGTAAGGTGTTTTCAAAAACTTTTCGCACGTATTTGTATCCCGCCGGAGAGTAAAAATTTAGAGTCAGGGCAAACTTTCAGTGGGCTAAATTTTATCCTTATGTTTTTTATGCGCTTTCTTTGCTTATTAATTCTTGAAAACAAATCAGCCGCTTCCGCCTTTACACACAAATCCTAAAATTGATCTTCAGGAACATTGAGGTCTTTTTTTAATTTAATCATTGTTACCTTAAGTGATTTACACCGTTCCTCGAGTCTTTTATTTTTTCTCTTCAAATTTTTATTTTCTTTCACAATTTTCTTTATATGAAATGTTATTTTTCTAACTTTTGATTTAAGAAATGCTTTACGTGGTGTATCAAAAATTGAATCCATATCAGAAATATTTACGTCACGTAGGGAGTTTGGTGAGCCGGGTTTCGAACTGTAATGATCATAATTCATAGCCGCCTAAAACAAAAAAAAACAGTAATTTGAACTGATCCTTAGTAGGTTATCTACAAATTTCCATACGTTAATAGAACCCCTTAACTGTTGATTACTGTTAGATTCACACGTACCTGAAAGTAGGGTACAGCCCCTGCTGATATCCTTTTTAACCCTTTGCTGGTTGCATATACATCTTCTGATTTGAAATGTGTTGAGCATAATCGACTATGTATTGTAGGTGTCCAATCAGGTTCCTGTCTTTGTTTTCGGATAACAACAAGCCACTTTTGTCTCCTTAATTCATCTTAGGAAACCTGAATAATAAAAATGTCCATTAAATGTCACCATTTTATGAATTGGTTGAACGTTTTATATTTTGGAAATTTTGCGATAGGGCCTACAATATGGAGTTCGCCTTATGTGTGGTACATTATGCATATTAGCATAAATAAATAAGTAAAATTATAAAATATAATTATACTTACTAACAGTCACTAAATAAAAACAACACTATTTTGTCTTGGTAAATACAAATTTTGGAATAAGTTAATTAAATAACCACGGTTGGTATTTAAAAAAATATCAATGTTTAATCAAAGAAATTTGTGTTGCTAACCTTACGTAACCTCGGTCTAGTAGATCGAGGCGCGCAAATCGGGCATCGCGTGCGTATCGTGTCTCTCACGCATGTTTTTATTATCTATCTCGCTCTTACAAACATGGTGAAGTCGACAATAAATATTACCATAATTTTTAACAAAATAGAATTTTTAGCTATACTTACGAGTGGTAAGTAATCCCGTGTATCTTATTTTTTTTTTCTTGAATTATTAGCACACTGTTTAACTGCACAAGAAGTCATTTTAATGCGTATTTAATACCAAAAGAACTGAAATTAATGCTTTATGCTAAAGCTTTATGACCAACGATGTTCCGCGCGCAACTGAGTGTCACTAGTAACTACGAGCCAAGTACGGGCAATCCCGTAGTTTTGTAGGACCGGGCGCTTTGATTTAGTGACCTATCTCCTCTTTTTAATATATCAATGGCACAAAGAGGTTTTTTTCGTTATTTTTTAATCGAACTTTTTTTATCAAATCGTGTTTTCGCTTCAACATATTTGAAGATTGTCCAAGTTTAATGTGTCCAAATAGCAAACTCTTAGGTCTTATAGACACCGAGATCGAGATCGCTCAATATCATCAAAACAGCATTATATGGACTCTTAATAATAATGAGGGAATCAGACAGTGCACCTGTGCTTGGGCATTTACTTGGACACTATAATTCCGTCTTGCAGATAGCTAGTTTCCTTGAGGCTGGCCACTGTGAACGAAATCCTGGAGGACACTATTATTATTATTAAGTGTCTTTGGGCCACAGCACCCACTCACCATCAGGTGAACTGTGTACTCGTTTGTCATTTAACTCTCTAAACTAGTAACAGATTTTTTATACGTGGTAGAGCCATGCTGCAGTTATATTAGTAGTGTAGTTGTAGCACGAATGGGTCGGCTCGACCGGGGAAGGACCACGCTCTCACAGAATACCAGCGTAAAATAGTAGCTAAATGCTGCTGTGTATCGTATGGTGAGTGTATAGAATCGTAGACCCTTTTTACTGGAAGCGAGGTATTCCATTTTAGTCCTCACGGGTGACAACGCATCTGCATTTTGATTCGTAATCGAGGATAGACGTAGATGTCTATGGGCCACAGCAACCACTTTCCATCGGGTGGACTGTGTGCTCGTTTGTCACGAGAAAGATTTTCGTCCCCAATTATTGTTACTAAGATTTGTCTCAAAATGCAAAACAATCGTGACTTTAAACATTTTTTATCCATTACAGTCTCAAGCCCAGCTGCGAGATCACAGTTGGAGCCACACGGAGTCGAAGCAGTTCGAGTGCCCGCAGTGCCACAAGCTGTTCCAGCGGCGTAACCTTTTGATCAATCATCGCCGATCGCACCTGATGCCGAGGGCGAAGCGTCAATGCACCGTCTGCAACAAGACCTTCAGCAACGCCAGCAACCTGCATCGACACAAAGTGGTCAGTGTTACGCGATTAAAACAACTATATTATTATATAATTCAACTTTTTATGGAATAGGGGCGACAACTGGACACACAGACCACCTGATGGTAAGTGAATGATGTGAACATAGACATCTACATCTATCCTCGATTAATAAAGAAAATGCAGATGCGTTTTCACCACAAAGGATGGCATTCCTCGTTTCTAGTAAAGGTCTCCGGTTTTCTACATTCACCACACGAAACACAACAGCAGTGGACCACTATTTTACGCTAATATTCTGTGAGAGTGTGGTCCTTCCCCGGTCAAGTTGACCCATTAGTGCTATAACCATAATAATATAGCTGTAGCGTTGCTCCACCACGTAAATTCAAATTCAATTTGATTTGCGTATACAATATTAATTAATATTACAGTGACTCTTTAAAAAACAGCCTATATATACGAACCATGAGCGGCGCGTTTTGCTTTAGCAGGTCACGCACTCAACAAATAATAACTGTAGCTTTTACTTAACATTCATATTTGTTATTATTGGCGATACACGGTACACGGTAAAGTTTCTATAACTTGTGAATGTAAATGGTATGTAATGTTTAATTAATAAATATAATGTTAGTAGTTAATTAATAAATAAAATATAAGTAAGAAGTAGAGGCGTTTCGATTATTAATCCAGATTAGATGTAGATGTCTTTGTGCTACAGCATCCCCTTACCATCAGGTGGACTGTGTGCTCTTTTGTCATTCTTATTTAATTAAAAAAAAATATATTCAATACATCTTTGTTAATTCCATTAGAATGTCAATCTGCAGGAATAGGTATAGAAATTTTAATGAGTAACATATTCGTTCACATTCTCTGCTACAAATAGCAAATTTTTGAAATCGCCGGATCTGCTCTTAATATAACAACGCCATTGGCTATTATAATCATTGACTATTCATAATAATAGAATTATGGCAGTAAATATTGTATGCCATGCAACGACTACACAGCCCAAATAGACGCCTAATGCAAGGCGAACACTTTCTGTCAACACGTTAGACAAATACGTCTTTTATTAAGAAAACGATCGCACGTTCTATTTTAGTAGCGACCATCTTGCATGTGAATCGTGAATTTCCGACAAATTTGGTGCGGAAATAGTAGCCAAATGTGTAATTTCAAAAAAAATGCCATCACTTTTCATAGATAAGTGAATTTTAATTTTCAAATTCATTAATTAAAATTAAATCAGAGCTCATTTTCTCAAAGCATCGCGTTGATTTATTCGGACATCTTTGGATATTCTCGGACTATGCATCTCTTTCTTTTCAATGCAGTTCATTGTTGGTATACTTTCAGGCACGTGTAACTAGTATTGTACCAGTTAAACTATAATATTGGTATAAGTAAATATTATGCATGTTATCGTGAATATTTTACAGACTTATATAAACGACATAGGTGTAAGCTGAATTTTTTTAGTGAATGTTCGTTAATCCATATTTGAATTAATTGATTTTAAAATTAAATCATTTTATTCAAAATTACTTAAAAAGGTTCGTAGTAAAATTGATATAATTTTTAAGTGACGACACTCCGCTCTCTTTACTGCTAATACGCCATGTCAAGTAGGAAACTGAAGTGAACTTGACAGTTTAAATAACTGTTGCTATTATTATTTCAGTATTGTAAAGGAAGCTTGTTTTAATAAAATATCCTTTAAAACAGATAATAATAGGTATTGTACTAAATACGATACCTACTTAAATAAAACTTTTTTTGTATTTTTTTATTTTGTACTAATTTACTGTAGAATATGGTTCTGGTACTGATTAAGTAGACTTGCTTGGCTACCAAATTTATCAGTTAAAGTTCCCATCACTATTTGTCTATTAGCAAGTGTCGCAACCTTGAATTTAACTAATTAGCGTGCATTTCAACCCGCCTCCCCCTTACCGCTTACCTCAGACTTTTGACAGACAAGTTTGGATGCAGAAGTACATAAATTAGGCGTCTATTTGGGCTGTGTGGTCGTTGATGCAATGCCAGCCCGGCTGCCATGCGTGCGGTGGCTAAGAGGCATTCATGGCAGTACTGAGTGAGGATAAAAGTACATGTCTATGGGCGACATCATTCGCTTACCATCAGGTGGACTGTGTGCTCGTTAGAGTTTTTTTTTTACTTGAAAAACACGCAACGTTCCGTCTTCATTTCCTTGTTTGGTCTTGACAAACTATTATTATGTAATGAGTTCTCAGCTGTATGTCAACAAATTTCTTGCAGATCCACACTGGCTTGAGAAATCAAAAGTGTGAGATATGCGGGAAATGCTTTAAAGACTTCGCCACCAAAAAAATTCACATCACATATGTTCATTTGAAGAAGCCGTGGCCGAAGAGGAATAGATCTAAGTCGGCGAAGACGAGACAGGTACATTTTTATTTATTTATGTATTATATCCACTTACTGCTATCATTACAGTTAGTGTTGCCCAAATGCAAGAACAAGACGAGACTTAGCCAGTCTTGGTCTTGCGCCAATACACCTGGTCTTGTTCTTGGTCTTGGTCTTGCAGCAAGAGTCTCGCAAGTCTCGCAATTACCTATTAGCCTATTATTATTTATTAAACGTTACTTTAAATCTTAGAACAACTTAACAGAGTAGCACTTTTGACTTGAATTAACATAGCCATAGAAAGACCAACCAAATTAATAAATGTCTAAACATTTAATGAGAAATTCGAAAAATCAACTAATACCGGGTGGGGTTTGAACCCACGACCTAAGCGATCCGTGTCGATGCTCTAACCAACTGAGCTGTCTACCAAGTCTCACGGCCACGGGAGTTAGTCTGTTTCTTAATAAACGTTTACATTTAATAAGCTTACATATGCTAAAACTTAGTCAAAACATATAAAAAACAAATTAATGACATTAACTTGACTGTATTATAAAGAACATTATCTGTCTAGAAAGAGATTGATAGACCCTTATATGAAATGGAATAAAAGAGAAGAAATTTACCATTTATTTAAATAAAAAAATAAAATACAATACAAATTAAATTACATAACAGTACACAACAGCTTTGACATTACTGTTACTTTATATTAATTCTTTTGACCAAGAATTAATACAAAGTAACCATCTGGCTGACGCATCACATAACCTTTTTCTATGTTTTCTAATTACTAATGATTCTTTAGAAAATAATCTCTCAGCAGGTACTGAAGTTGCAGGTATTCAAAGAAAATCACGGGCCATCTTCGATAAAGTCGGATATTCTGTCTCATGCGTCCTCCACCACTCTAAAATGTCTTCCGAACTGGCGGCTCTGGGTTTACTTAGGTACTCCTCCAACTCGTCTATAACTAAGCCTTGATGAAAAGATCCAGATCCAGATGACGTCGAGGGACATGCATACAATTTCTCAAAGTCTATTACGTCTTCATCTTCATCATATTCACATACTTTCTTTTCATTTCTTGGTGATTCTAGAGATGTATTCACTGAGTGTAGACTTTTATATTCTTTATAAATTTCATTAAATTTGCGCAGGCTTTCTGTTTTAATTTGCTTCCCCCAAGATGTCATGTCAAAAGTCTGAGTCTTATGCTTGTCTATTAAAGAGGTACAATAAATCCAGTTGCTCTTTTTATAATGTTTAAGCATTTTGTCTCGAGCTGCTTGAAATCCAAGAATGAGCCTTTTATCCACTTCGGATCGATTAGGTTTCTCATTTAATTGTTTTAACATGGATTCAATTTTATCGAGCAAAAGATTGAATGATACAATGACTAGCGGTAATGTAACATATTTTTCTCCACCAAGTTTCGTTGATAGAAGTTTAAAGTTTATTAGAAACTCACGTATTTTTTCGAGTATTTGCCATTCACTATCTGTGATTTGAAAATCATTCAATTCGGCGACAGAAGTGCACAATATGTTAATGCCAGTTCTCACTTTTAAACCAAATCCAATCATATCATGTGTGGAATTCCATCTCGTTGGACAGTCGAGTATGGGGTTCAGATTTTATGGCACGCCAGCTGCTTCACAAGCAGACTGAAACTTCCTCTTCAATATCTCACTTCTTTTTATTTTACTGGAAATACTGCGTAATTTTGTTATAGCTGTACGTGAGTCAGCAATATTTGGCGCATATTCTTCATCTTCCTCAGTTTCGTCTTCATTATCTGCTTCATACTGCTGTTCTTGTCCCTTATTGTCAGTTTCACTGTGTAATGCTAAGGTCTTTAATAAATCTTGTACACCAAGGTTCAATATGGGAGGAAAGCACCGGAAATGTTGATTGTCTGAATCAAAGTGTGGCAGCCGTTTCTCCAATTCATACATAAATTTGCTATTTGCAGTTGCGTTGTCGACCGTGATACCCTGTATTTTATCAATTATGTCATATTCCAATAAACATTCGTGGAAAATCGTTGCAACATCTTCCCCAGTATGTCGACCGCGTGATGGTATAAAATCAAGGACTACAGATCGATACTTCCATTCGTTGTCTATATAATGAATAGTGACCCCGCAGTAACGCCTACCAGCAATTGACGTCCATCCATCAATGGTAAATGACATTTTAGATGAAAATTGTTGTAGTCGTTTCTTAAGATTCAATTGAAGCTCTTCAAACCGTTCTTTGACCTTCCTTCTAAGTGTGGACTTTTTAGGAAACACCATATTTGGGCAAATTGATCGAAAATATACTTGTGTAGCTTCGTCATCGAAAAATGAGAAGGGAAGATATTTTTGAACCATCCAATCAACTGTAGCTGTCGTGATGTTGTCACTGCTATTTTCAGACTGAAATAAAACAGTAAATCATGTGTTGCCGATTATAAAAATGAAAATTGATTATTTTTAATATATATATATATATATATATATATATATATATATATATATATATATATATATATATATATATATATACAACTATAATGATATCTCAGGAACTATAAAACATACAAACTTGAAGTTTGTAAGGTAGGTTCCTTTTATGGCATTAACGGTTTTGAGAAAATCTATCCCTAAGGGAGTGAAATAGGAGTTGGAAGTTTGTATGAAAGTCCTACGTTTTTGAAGTTAGAGACACGAAAATCGGCATTAAAGTTATAAGTTTTCAATAATAAAATCCTGAATAAGCTGTTTTACGAAATCCTAACCCTAAGGGTCACCCCCTTAGGGTTAGGATTTCGTAATTGGGGTAAGATGGTTACATGCAAGTCCTATATTTTTAAAGTATAAGATATGAAGATCGACATTTACTTTATTAGTTTTAAATAATAAATACTTGCATAGTTAAGCTTTACCTATATAGCCTCTTTATACTTAGGTAAGACTTTTGCAGCGAGAAAATTTCAAAATTTCATATGAAATCAAATATTGTACGCGGACGAAGTCGCAGGCGGCCGCTTCTTACCTGTCCACTTGATAATGATACAACACAATGATATCTCCACTTAATTTTAGTTTTTCAGGAAGAAATATTTGTGATTCCTTTTTGTGGAAAGATATTAGATGCTTCCTTAAGCCTAAAGTGTTTCTGTTTTTATTTCAACCTTTTTATGTTGGCATAATTTACACAAAGCAATTTGGTATGTATGAATTATGCCGAAAAACTCATCAAATTTACTTTTAGGTCTTTTAGATCTATAACTCCAACTCTCACTACTCCGACTAGAACTATTCGACTCTTCGTCACTCATGTCAAATTGTAAACTTATCACTCCGAGAACAACAAGGATTAGAATAAAAACAATTAATCCATTAGACTCGAAGCAAAGCTCAATTGGGAATGACTGGAATTAAAATAAATACTACTATTTGTAAGTACACGCCGAAAGACCGACAAAGAAAAGTTCGGCATCCTTTGATAAAATTAATGATTCTTCAGAAGATTAATAAAGTAGATGCGTTGCCAGATAGGTATAGCTACGTAAAAATGAAATGTAAATATATAAATAAAATTGTGTATATTATGTTCTTCTTGTGATTGAAATAATCTACGTTAATTAAATTAAATTTGCCTTCACTCGTTTGAAATTCAAAATTCAAATATGTTTTATTCAAGTAGCCATTAAAAATACACTTTTGAATAGTCATATAATCACTGTTTCCCCAATTCTGATTCTATTGAGAAGAATCATGGAAGAAAGTAAGAAACTCAGTAGTTGCTCTTTTCAAAATATTTTTACAATAGTTCTATAATTATGTAAAGCGATAAGTCAAACATAAGATGTCAAATGTAAATGTAGATACCAAATCGGTTTAGAAATTTCTAGTTAGTCCTGTGTAGTACGAGAGGCCAGTTTGGAACTGACCTCTCGTACTACACAGGTACGTTTATAGTATAGTTATAGTTAGTAGCATTTTTAGTGACTTAAATTGAAAAGGTGAAAGATCTAACATTTCTTTTGGAATCTTATTATAAAAGCGTATATCGCTACCCAAGAACCCATTATATACTTTGTGTAACCGGAAAGCAGGTATTGTGATTTTATTTTTATTTCTACTATTAAAATTGTGCAAATAACTATTATTTACATCAATTCGATGCAATCAATTTCTTTAAACGGTTCTCTAAGAGATACTCGGGCTCCTAAAAAGTACATAGATCTTACTTTACGCTTTTTATTTAATATGCACACTTTTTATATTATTCGATTAGCATTGTACAAAATGTTTATACGTTTCAAGTGTGTTAAAAGTGTCTACAATATTTATCAAATTGGGTGAAAAACGACATATTCGAACACTTTGTGTTCAAAAACACACACTTCCAAAAATCGAGATTTGCAGTGAACTTATTGAACATGTTTATCTATTAGGTAATAATAATAATAGTATGTAATTATTATAAGCCCATATAGTTAATATTATAATAATTACTTACTAGAATAAATTATTATGGTATCTACCTATCCTTACCATTATCTAATTACAATACTCCTTGCGAGATCAGCATAATGTATTCGTGTCCATTCTGAGCACCCGGAAACTTATTTTATTCTTTGGAACATGTACTCTGTGGCGGCATTCAAACAGTGTCAAATGTAGTGCGTGCGGCGCGGCGGCGACGATTGAATGCGATATCAATAGAAGCCGCCGGCGCGTGTATGTTGTATATACCTTGTACTTCTGAATAGCTGCAAAATTTCTTTGACGGGTCAGTATTCGACCTTTGATGATGCCGACATCAAGACGCCGCGCACTATCGAAGTGCCGATGGTCAAAACTGGGGATGCACTGTTTTTTCTTTTAATGGATATTTTCATCCGCTATGTATGTTTATGGTATTGTTCGTAATGCGCACAAGTCCAATTTTCCAAATTTTTTTATATATTTTTAGCGTCTCATAAGAGTCCCTAAGCGTATACCCGAACTCCTATACTTCCTGAAACGACACTCATTCCTAACTGCAAGACCCAAGAGTCTCGCAGGCTTAGTCTTGTTCTTGCTCAAATCTTGCACGGTCAGTCTTGGTCTTGGTCTTGCTAAAATTAGACGGTCTTGTTCTTGGTTTGTCTTGCAAAAATGCAAGAACAAGATCAAGACTGCAAGACCAAGACCGATTTTGGGCAACACTAATTACGTTGCCCTAATACAATAGATAAATCTGATTTTAATTATAATACATATGTAGGTAACTTGAAACTGACACATAATATGTATTTGACACGTATTTAAATTGATAACGTGTATTTGAATTGGAAAAAGGAAATGAAGCACTAGAATCTACTATCAGTTCAGCATGCTATGCCTTAAGAAGTTTACGAGACACGAAGTTACGTTAAAGCAGCTTACGTTGGTTTATTTTGCTCTAGTAGAATCAAAACTTCGTTATAGGTTATAGCATACAATTCTGGGGCAACGGTTACAAATATAATATTAAGACAGCGTTTGTATTACAAAAAAGAGCGATCCGCACCATGTTACGTATTCTACAAATTGAGTCGTGTAAAGAACATTTTCGAAAACTTGGCATACTTACGGTTCCCTCTCTGTATATATTGGTTTCACTTACATATTTGGTAAAAAAAATTTACAAACATAAAACAAACGAAGGAAAGGAAAAAGGGAGAAATGACACGTCGAAAAGATTTGAAAACTTGAATTACAACAACATTGAATGTTGTACGTCACAGCACAAGGCATCAAGCCCTGCCTATGCCTAGCACTATTTAATTCTTTGCCTACCTCATTTAAAGTTATTTATTGCCACCAAAAATTCCAAAATAAACTCAAATCATTATTAATTAAAAAAAGCTACTACTCAGTTGACGATTATTTATTTATTTTATTTATTTTATATGATAGGGTGACAAACGAGCACACAGTCCACCTGATGGTAAGTGGATCCTGCGGCCCATAGACATCTACATATATCCTCAATTAGAAATCGAAATGCAGATGCGTTGTCACCCTTGAGAACTGAGATGGAATGCCTCGTTTCCAGTAAAAAGGGGCTCCGGTTCTCTACACTCACCATACGAAATACAGCAGCATTAAGCTACTATTTCACGCTGGTATTCTGTGAGAGCGTGGTCCTTCCCCGGTCGAGGCGACCCATTCGTGCTACAACTATAGGTACTACTAATATAAATGCAGCATGGCGATTACCTAAATGATAAAAATAAACTTAATACTTATACCTATATACATATTGCTTAATATATTATAATCTATTATGACATGAAAAATATTTAATTTTATATGAAAAGTTTTAAATGTAGAATGATTGTCAAATGATATTTAAATTATATTCGATTTTAGTTTTATTTAAGTTAATTGCATGCAAACGTAATTCTTCATTTTGTGTACTACTACTTTTTGTGGATTATATATATATATATATATATATATATATATATATATATATATATATATATATATATATATATATAACACAAACATACATTCACACACATTTAACAAACACTAGTAACAACACTATACTTACCAGTTGGCCGACGCTCATAGGTTTGATCCCGGTGGTGTCATCGATACATTACCATATAAGGTGGTCTCGTGTGCCTGCTGCAGGCGGGCGGTGCGAGCTCGCACCGCCTCGTTGCTCCTTGAACTTTGATCAGTCGGTTACGTATTACAACGGAGAGGCTTCGCTTCGGCTTACGGACGCTTGTTATTTAAATATTTACGTGCCTGTGACTGCCTCGTTGGTCTAGTGGTTGTAGTAGTGTGACTGCTGATCATTAGGTACTGGGTTCGAATCTCGTTCAGGCCAAAAAATCAATTATTGAATTTTGCCGATGTCTCACCCCCGTACCTCGGAAAGTTCGTAAAGCCGTTGGTCCTGCGCCTGATCTCTCTCCGGTCGTGTCGGTTTACCGTCCCATCGGATTATGAGGGTGAGGGAATAGAGAGTGCACCTGAGCTTGCGCATAGACTTGGGCACTATAATCCTGTCCTGTCGTATAGAAGAAGGATAACAAACGAGCACACAGTCCACCTGATGGTAAGTGGATGCTGTGGCCCATAGACATCTACATCTATTCACCATTAAGAGTGCAGATGCAGACGCGTTGCCACCCCTGAGGACTTTTTTGTTGAGTTGAGTTGGCTGTCTACATACACCATACGAAACACAGCAACATTGAGCTGCTATTTTATCGCTGGTATTCTGTGAGATCGTGCTCCTGCCCCGGTCGAGCTGACCTATTCGTGCTACAAACATAATATAACTACAACAAGGCTCTACCACATATAAAATATGGTGAGTGTAGAGTATCGGAGACCCTTTTTATTTGAAACCAGGCGTCCCATCTTAGTCCTCTAAGGTGACAACTCATCTGCATTTGATGTAATAGATGTAGCTATCTACGTGCCACAGCATCTACTTACTGTCAGGTGAACTGTGTACTCGATCATCACCCTTTTTCTTTAAATAAAATATGTATTTTTCGTAGTGATGTCATAGAGTAAACATGTCAGCATAAGAAAACATCAAAGTCAAAACTTTTCATTCGATTTTAAAAACAACTATACCAGTTCTCAGAGCAGAACCAGCAACACCCTGGGGTCTTTATTTTTAATACAGTCTTACAAAACCTCAAATGATATTATAATCAATAATCATCAATAAAAATCTTAATGCTCTTGGGCGACAACTGAACTGACTACACATATGCATTTTAATATTTAAGCAAAAACAGATGCAGGTGTCTGGCATATAATTAACAAAAAAAAAAACACATTGCAATATTTAATCTTCCTGTCTTCCTGCCCTTATCCCAAGTTATTTAGGGTCGGCATATAATGACTTCGCGAACTCCTTTACTTACTTATAACCACAGTCCTAGCTCGGTCCATCCATCTTTTTTTGGGCTTTTTTCTTCTCTTACACCCATGCACTTTTATAGCCAACATTCTTCCTGTTACATGTACACACAATTTAATAATAAGAAGTGAAAAACTTAATTACACCATGCAATAGCGGTGTAAGAATATCCACGAGCCCATATCATCCCGTGGTTGTCGTAAGAGGCGGCAGAGGGAACCAAATCAGGAGATGGGCTGCAGCGTCCTCCTAATAACGATTAAAAATATCCCTCCTATGAGGCATCTATAAGGGAGGCCATAAGTTGCCTCATAAGTCATAATATGATGTTATGTTCAGCAGCGGACTATAATACGCTGTGACGGATAAACTTAAGTTATCTCGATTTTTAATCATTCTCCAAGCTTCTCAATCTAACCTTATTATTTTTCAGGCTACCCTCACACAAACTCCACTGCCCACTAGTGAGAGCGACAGGAATACTGAGCAACCCACGTGGTCCGAATCCATCGTACGGTAGGAAACTGCTGTAGTCAACTCTGTGTATTTATAAAAAAATATGTGCGTATTATTATGTACTATTATAATCATAACTGTAATTGTACGATGTGAAACTTCTTTACGACATATCATTCTTCTTTTATTTATTATAATATATATTGTAATATGTTTATAACATATAATATTGTACTGAATTTTTCTTCTACGTCAATAAAGAAGTTTCACTTCAAAATCAAACAATTGTGATATTATTTGTATTTCTATAGATATCGGCATAAGAGTTGACACATTATGTACTGATGGCAAAAAAGGTAAACGTATTTATAACAAATACAGTTTAAGTCAGTTAGCAAACTTTGTAAGGCTAGGCGAGCGAATACAATCAGTGTAAGTTAATCCCGGATCTAACCGTAATACATTTAAGCGAAATCTTAAGAGTGATGACGATTCCTTCGAAAAATATCGATTTTAAATCGATTCAAATCGAAATCTGTAAAATCGATTCACAATATCGATTTTTAAGAAATCGATCTTTTAGACTTAGATTTTTGACTTACACTTTTAGATTTTTTTATATTTTTGCTTTTCGGGTTTGTATTTAAAATATCAACAAACAATACAACAAAACACAGATTTATATATAATAATGCAACTTTTTTATTTCTTTAATCCGATAAGAAGAATCGAAAGAAACAGCACAAAGCCATCTCGCGAATTTTTGTATTTTGAAAAACTGTTATTTCTTTTGGGCAAATTCAACTAATTGTAAATTATTTTATGGTTCTTATAAAAACTCAAAAAATCGAATCTCGATTGTCTAGGGTGAGATACCGATATACATAAAAATTCATAGTTTGATAATAAAAATAATAAATTATACACACGACACAGAAGCTGAAAAACTATACAATACATGATTATTTTTCAAAGAGTAGTCGAACTTTAAACTTAAGTTCAAATATATAAATAAAGATATACCGTTATTGTGCTTTTAGAAAATACCAGTAAATAAGGCTTCTACTTTTATTTGAAATCATCCTAAATTGGGATAATGTTTTAAAATTGGATTATTTTAAAGAAATTTTTAGTCAACTTCGATTACATAGCGTGGAGTTTATTTTGAAGTCATTTCACAAAAAAATACTAACGACGTTGTGTGGGTGACCTCTACTCTTGTACTCCGACACCTCTATGGCTAAGAAAAAAGTACTTTTGTTTTAAAAAATTGGCGTACACAGTTTAAAAGAAGTTTTAATTTAAAAAAAAGAATTTAAACACTGCATTTAAAGAGTTATTTTGTGTAATAAATTATTTGTAAGGAATATTGAAAAATAAATGTTTAAGAAAATCGCGGTCATTTTCATTATTTTATCCTAATAAGTTGTAGAATCGCCGTGTAGTGGCGGTTAAGAATATCCACTACACCATATCATCACGTGGGCGTCGTAAGAGACGACAGATGGAAACAAAACCAGGAAAAATTGCGGTTGCCAACCTGTATGCCAAGCGTCGCTACATGGTAAATATCCCTCCTATGATGCAATCTATGGGGGAGGCCTGTGCTCAGCAGCGGACTTTAATGGACTGTGACGATAACAGTAGTTGTACAAGTGAGCAACCCGACACCACCTCTCCATGGCGAGAACTCATGATGGAACAGCAGCCACTTGATTGGTTATATATTCAAACGTAACTCAATATTAGAATGTCTATTTAAAAAAAAACACTGCTACATTGCGTAAATAACGTGTAACGTGTATGTGAATAAATATGTTGTTGGAAACTCTTAAAACAATTAAAATGAACGTCTCAGTAACAACTGTACGTTATAAAAGATTCATGACACGCATTAGAAGTAAATACGATTATAGGTATGTCACGAAAATAAATGAAGTATGCAAACCAATAGCACCACCGTGCAGCACGATGCGACATAGGGCAGCCACACTGCAACATCACCTTAGCTTGTACAAAAAGGGATTATCACGACGGGAACAGACTCGTGGAACGACCTAACCTAGACTGCTAGTTACCTGCGCAGTACTATGTACTAATTGAACGAGTGTGGGCGTTTTAACGCTTATTAGTTTTCTACCTTTACTCGTAGCAATATTAATGCTTCTCCGATAGTTTTGCTCAGACATTTAACCTAGGTTTTTCGAGAGAACACTGAAACTTATACGTGGTAGTCATGCTGCAGGTATATTGGTAGTATAGTTGTAGCACGAATGGGTCCGCTCGACCGGGGAAGAACCACGCTCTCACAGAATACCAGCGTGAAATAGCAGCTTAATGCTGCTGTGTTTCGTATGGTGAATGTAGAGAACCGGCGACCCTTTTTACTGGAAACGAGGCATTCCATCTTAGTCCTCACGGGTGACAACGCATTCGCATTTTGGTTCGTAATCGAGGATAGATGTAGATCTATGGGCCACAGCAACCACTTACCATCAGGTGGACTGTGTGCTCGTTTGTTACCCTATGCTATAAAAAAAAGCCAGTGGAGAGCTTCTCTCTGCGAAGACTTGTTTACCTTGATACTCTTTTTCCTACTTTACGGTCTTCCGGTCGGTTATGCTCTAAACTGAATAAGGATAAGCCCTTTATTACACGTAATGACGTACATGTAGAATGGGTCCGGAAGTGATTCCGGAGGCTGCATATTTCACGATTGTGAATTCACCTTTACAGCCTATCAAAAGTCCACTGTTGGATAAGGCTACCTTATAGATTGCCTCATAGTGAGAATACCTGCCACAGTTGCCACGCAGCAGGCGGGCTGGCAACCGCAGTTGTCAGCCCTACCCCTTTCGATAAGGACACTCTTATAAAATTGAATATAAAGTTTTTATATTAACTTTCAGCAATCCCATCATATGGGAACAGTAAGAAACTAATAACTTGATGTCGTCCAGGTAGAAAAGATGGGTCAATTTTGTGCCCAACTTTGCTAATTGTTATTACTATGAAATCCGACCATTGTGTGGATGTTACACAGCAAACAAATGTATCCAGTAATGGACTGGATCAATTAACTCTTTAATTTTAAATTGTCTTTAATTTACACCTGCCAACATTTTTGTTACCTATATTCCATTTTTGCAGGGTTAATTAGTAGAGAATTTTATAAGGCTTCAAGTCCACCATTTGTATTCCCCAGTTGATTTGCATTAAAATATAAAATAATAATAATTTGAGGTTTAACACGTTCCTGTCCAACTCTAGGACCAAAAACTACTATTACGATTCTATTACTGGTTTTAACTTGAAAGATTGTAAATAAACATTTTATTTCGACATTAACATCATCATTATCATCACGTAATGCTAAAAAGCAGGGCTATGCTTACATAAACCACATGCAACCATCGACTTCCTACATATCTTACCTGATCGGCTCTATTTAGTGGGCGCCGCCCTACACTGTCTACTGGTACGAGGCTGCCACTCGAAAACCTATATTCCAACTCGGTTGTCGGTTCTTCGAGCCATATGGCCAGCCCATTGCCACTTCAGCTTGAAGATCTATTGTATTTTTATGGGGCATCATTCTATGGTGTATCAGAAAATAAAACAATGTATATATATATCAAATCCAATTTTATTTTACAAAACCTTAATACTAATAATAAATAAATGATTTCTAACAAAGCTGTGTTTTCATAAAAAGCTTATTTATATACAATCCGATCACTGGACAATCGATTCACATATTTTATATACCGAGCTCCAATTTAAAATCGACTAAAAACTAATCTAATTTTACAGGAGAGCGACGAAACTTCTTCATACCAGGCCAGTCCACTGCTAAATATGGATCTCCCCATACAATGCCACATCATTTAATTTGTCATAGTTGTCAACCGCAGTTTAATTATTTTCAATTGGTTATGGCAGATTACCAAATGAAAATAAACCGACTTAAAACACAAACGGATTTATATGAGGTGGAGGATATTCTTACACGGCCACTACATGGTTGGCACTCTATATATAAATCGATGCAATTCTTAAAATGTTTTAACAATAGTTTGAAAATTAAAAGAACTGCTATCAATAAAGTTTTTAATATTAAAAGTAATTAAATGTTACACAGCCTATACTGCATGGCCATTTTTACCATCTAAAAAAATAGGGTGTAACATGTGAACGGAATAGATAGGCACTGATATTTATATACATTCAAAGTCTTTGTTTTTATTTTTAGTAAAATATCAGTACCATAGGCTTCTACGCCGTTCACATGTTACACACTATTGTTTTTAGATGCTAAAAATAGTCATTCAATATATGTCCCATCGCTGGGCACAGATCTCCGATTTCCGAGACTTGTATTAATACTGTTAAGCATAAATACTGTTAAGATATTATAATTTTTAATAATTTTATATATTTAATGCAGGTATTTCCATCTTGTAGATAACTACTATGTTAGGTTTTAAATATTAAATATCATTATAATGTCATTTACTAGGAGTAAAGTAGGAGACTTTATATGGAGAAAACCGACGTAATAGTTTTTTCGAATTACCACTCATATATTTTTCTGCTACTAAATAGCACAACAGGCGTGTTCCAGAAAGGTATAGAGAGCCAGCATATTTACAGGCTGTGAGGTATTCAGTCTTAGATGCTCGGAGACTCAGAACTAACAGGGATTTGTGCGAAACTTCATGAATTACTTCCTATGTATATGGAATTCTTACGTCCTTTACGTTCCACGTCTCATCATAGACCAACTCATCCCTGAAGTTGTGGAGCAAGAAAGACCATCGCGCTGTCAAACACGCTTATCGCCCTACAGGTTTTCTCGCTATGTTTCCTTCACTGCCGAGAATGCGGTAAATCAAAATGGCAAGTAACATTTTAGTTAGTGACGGACGATCAACGTAAACTTAGGAGATTCTCAAAAAATATGTCAAACAATTCACTAAACATAAAAAACACAAACATAGTCAGATCTCTATCTTTGTTAAAACACCTGCAATGCTATTTGAGTCAGTACTAACTCAAACTACTCTTGAAAATTTTATTTCAATGAGTGGGTGGGGTGACATTAGTCGCATGGTGTATTCGAACTCACGATCAAAGACTTCTATGTATATTTCTAGACGTGCTCTACGGCCTTAAATACATTGTTACAAGTTACGATAACATTAAGTTACGATGAGTTATCCGCAACTCGTTTAGTCGACTGCGAGCGGGCGAGAAGACTAGTTCTTTGTTTTGTAAACCGCGAACGTTGTTCTATATCTAACAATGATATTGTTTAATGTGACTAAGAAAACGAAGAAGACGCTGTCATCACAGCTGGTAATCATTCAGCAAAAATCTATGACCGTATGAAATGCTGTGAGCAATTCATTACATGACGTTTCTCTCGTCCCTCACACCTCATGCCCCTTCCCTCAATTGCCATTTTGTCATGTTACTGTCGCTTAGTCATAGATTATTAGCTTAGCTGTCAGTTCTTCATGTCATTTATTGTTGTTTAGGGGTTTTCTTGGATATTTCATTGTTCCCGTGAACCAACAAAATAAACTTTAATTAGATTTTAGTGTTATTTTACGAAAGGACGTTATAATTTATAAGCTAATTTACGAAAAGACGTTTATTGTGTACTAGGTTACATACGACAGGACGTTTCTTTAGCATAAGTGTATTTTAATTTTAAGTCACTGTCCTGTAAATAGGAGAGCTTCCATTGAAATATGATTAGCACCCATATTAAAAGTTTACTACTTTTATTTTATGATTTATTTAAATATTCTTTCTTTCAGCTCACTACACTGACGGCAGACCAGTTAGCAATACTTTAAAAAACACTTCGGAGACTGTATCATTTCTGAATGATTTATTCGATAGTATAAATGGCTCTTCTCTTAATCACAAGAAATGTGTTGGAAAACCTTTAAGGAAGGCTGTTACTGACAACTCATTGCATCACAACTTTTGGAGGGATGCAAAGAAAAAAATTGAAAAAATGAAATTTATTGACAAGGGCAATGAAAAGTCCGTGCCTACACTAAAAAATTGGCTGACAACAATTAAAAGTTACGAAAAGGTGTGGCAAGTGTTACACAAAAAAAAAATGTAAAAATCATGCGACCTCGGTATTTCAATTCAGATCCCATTGAAAACTTTTTTGGGCGAGTGAGGTCGTATAATCCAACTTGCCACATTTTCATCAGTACTTTCAAATCTTTATTGTTAACAGGCCTCATTAAATTTCATTCAGAAACCTATAATTGCGAAGATGATACTTGCTATCAGTTGATAAATGTGCAGTCTTTATTTAGAAAGCGATCTGAAGAGATAAACTGTAATACATCCAATATCAATCAGGATATTGCCATTATATCAGGAAAGATTCTAGCCGAGAATATATCGACGGTGGTAAATGTTTAGCAGACTTACATGCAGACTATAAAGCACAATGTTTGGAGCAAGGAGTTAGTGCAGCACACTACGAAATGTATGCAATTTTTTTTAATTATGAGTTTAATATAAGTTTTTTTACTCCTAAAAAGGACCGTTGTGAGTTGTGTGTAAGCTACGAAAATGCAAATGGATCTGCAAAAGAGGAACTACAGGAAAAGTACATGTTACATCAGGAAGAAAAGGATTTATCTAGAATAGAAAAAGAGAGTGATAAAAATAAAGCGTGCAATGATTACATCGTAGCTGTTTGACCTTCAGGCTGTTCTTCAAACTCCAAGAGGAGATATATCAGTATTCTATTATAAATCGAAATTAAATAACTTCAATTTCACTATAAGTGAAATTGGTTCCCCTGATCACACCGAATGCTACCTCTGGCACGAAGGGGAGGCCAATCGAGAGGCAGATGAGATTGGGTCTTGTGTCCTGAACTTTATTGACAAAGTAATGGAAAATTATGCTGGTTCAGGTATTGAATTTGTATTTTACTCCTACAATTGCTGCGGCCAGCAGAAAAACAAATTTCTTTTTTCCATGTATATATACACGTTGATGAAACATTCTAAAATTAAATCTATAACACATAAATACCTTATTACTGGCCATACACAAAATGAAGGAGATAGCGTACATTCCGTGATAGAAAAAGCTATCAAAAAGAACCTCCGCTCCGGTCCCATCTATGTTCCGAGCCAATATGCTCAAATTATAAGGAACGCCAAAAAGAAGGGCAACCCGTATAGAGTAAACGAGATGAGCTTCAGAGAATTTTATTCTATGAAAAGCCTATCGGAAACCATTGGTTTCAATTCTAAAAATTTTAAAACCTCTGAAATAAAGGTTTTAAAAGTGATTCAGGGCGAATTTAAGAAAGTGTACTATAAATATTCTTTTAAAGAAATTGATTTTAAAGAAGCAGAAATCACAAGAAAGCAATTGCCCGTTCAAATAATATCACTAAAAAAAAGCTTATAGGACGAAACCGAAAATTAAAGAAAATTAAAAAGAGAGACCTCTTAAGTCTGGTACAGAGTAATCACATACCTAATTTCTACAGCGAATTTTACACAAATTTGTAATCTTTAAGTTTTAAGTATTAACAATTTTTAGTGTGTTTTTTAACTTTGCCTTTAGACTGATTATGGTAATTGTGAAAGTTCCTAAAGTTGCTCCAAAGATTAGATTTAATATTAAGAAGAACCATAAATAAAAATATTTTTTGTGTTAAGATATTTTTTTATTTTGCTACCATAATAATGTAAAAAAGTATCATAAGTTGAGTAATTTTTAATTTATTTACTTTTTAAACAAATTTCATTTAATTTTTTAATATACTCTTACATTTTGCAAATAGCTTGATAAATTCTTTGTTAGTTAAAACAGTAGACAGGTAAAAATTTGTAACCTAAAAGTCACAATAGCATTAATTTATCGAAAAATAATTTAAATCGTTTTTTTCTCAAAACTAGCTTTCAGCGTCTTATGACAGTTTTTCAGAGGGAAGTCGAAGTAGTAAAATTAAAAATTTTGTACAACAGACTTCAATATAAATGAAATGAGAATATAATCAATGTAGATCTTGATCAAAATTATATGGGAATATGTGAAAAGCACCAGCTTTCAAATAAAAAAGAATCATGAAAATCGGTTCACCCGAAGAAAAGTACTGAGGTAACACGCATAAAAATACAGTTCAATTGAGTACTTCCTACTTTTTTGAAGTCGGTTAAAAATGTATCCTAATCAATTTACGTTAATATACTATCGTAAGTCTCTTTAAATTTTTACAGACAACCAAAGAGATACCGTGTAGTTGCAGTGTACGAATATCCACTAACACATATCGTGCCGTGGGATTCGTAAGAGGCCGCAGGGGGACACGAAGCAGGAGACGGGCAGCAGCGTCTTCCAAATAACGACTAGAAATAAATAAATGCGGTTGCCAACCTGTCGGCAAAGCATCGCAGTTATGGCAAATATGAAGCAATCTATGGAGGGGCTATATACAGCAGAGAACTTTCATAAGCTGTACCGATAACGGTAATCGAGGAGATCTGCTGCTGAACTTCCTCATAACAACCAACTATGAAAAAATCTCCTATATATTACAACCTATGGCCGAGACCTATCTTCAGCAGTAGACTTTACAACCTCTTAAGAATATGCCTATAATATAATAATAATAAAGCAAGTAATATGCGAAAGAAACGAATGTACTGTCAGTGCTTAAACTCATAATTATTCTCAAACAAATCGACAATCCCGAATCACACTTCACAAATTGAGATCTTTATTACAATATAATAAAACATTAGTATGTTAAAACAAAGAACGCTAAAACAATTCGTCACACACACAACACACACACACACACACACACACACACACACACACACACACACGCGCACGCGCGCACACACACACACACACACACACACACACACACACACACGCCACCATACACACAGACAACAACACACAAGTGACGCTTTTGAAATATACAATCACGATAGACATGTGTCAATCATGAATGATTCGTTCGTTTGTGCTGGTACACCTAAAAGTATTGATGGTTCCATCTGTTTTTTAATGTTTCGGTACAACCAGTTACAAACAATTGACGGAGCCTTTTTAACACGTGATTGGTATTGTGAATGAGTGACGAATGATTGTTTTTTTAGTGTAGGGTGCTGGAATGCCCGAAATGATCCATTTGAATGATCGATCCGACTGTACCGGCACGCGTGACGGAATGTACTAGAATGATTCGGTCACGTGAAATGAATGATTGACACATGTCTAAATCACAAAAATACAATGCGATTCAACTAAGAACAGGAGCGTCAATGACCTCGATCCGACAACTGTCACTTGACAAGTACAACTTGCAAAAAATATTTATAATAGCGTTTTTTTTTTACTTTACTTAACTGAGTCGCACTACCAAATCTATTGAAGACACAAGTAATAAAATGTCAACTTTTCTTTAAATTTAATATTAAATGGGATAATTTAACGGAATATTTTTAATATTTAAATAAATGCATGCTCCATTTTTATAGGTGAAACCAGCAGTTATGGCAATGCGAGCGAAATTGAAGTGCTAGATTCAGATTAATACGTTTTTGTACATGTTTTTTTGTAAATAAATATTACTCTAAAAATATCTGCTTTGCTCACCCTACCTAACTGGTTTGAATTAACAGTTATGACGTCACAATATGGCGCAAGGTCATTTCTATTCTTATTTGGATAGCATTGTACACTCTGTTACATTTCACAGATGTAATCTGCACGCTTGGCAATTGCAATGCCAGACGTGAACACATTCGACGTTACTTCCCGCTATAATTGTTTGATTTTAACGCCATTTATCGAAGACTACATATGTATTTTTATTAAAATACCATCACAGTAAGTTTTTTCATCTTGTATGGACATCTATGCTCCCATCTCGTGTCATTTTTCTTCAATTCATTTAGCAGTTATTATAAATATTTTAATTACATAGTCATTATATACGTACATTATCGACCTATAGAGCCGAAAAAAATTACTTTTAGATTTAAAAATATAAGTTAAAACGTAATTGAAGCAGAGCTATAAAAACAACAGTAAAATAAAATTACGTTACAGATATATATATCTAAGTATTTAAATACTAAACACAAAATTATGGCAGAAACTCAAAAAAGCCTCGACCAAATAAGATACAATGAAATAAATAAAAGGGTAAATAATTCACAAAATTACCTCGCAAAAATAATCCAACATTACTATTTTCTGATTCCACGAAATGCCAAAAAATCTGTGATAAAGTCTGTTCGGCGAGAGTTGATAAATATAACAAGGCTCGCAGCAGTTGTCAAGCGCTATCTTTCGACAAAAATAATTAGCGGGCCGCAATATGCAATGAGTTTAGGAACCCTGCATTTTTATTATTTAATATGTATCAGCAAAAATAATTAGCGGGCCGCAATATGCAATGAGTTTAGGAACCCTGCATTTTTATTATCTAACGTCTATCAGCAAAAACAATTAGCGGGCCGCAATTTTAATAAGTTTGGGCACCCCTCTTTTCTATCAATTCTCGCCAAACAGACTTTATGTATCAAGACATTGTATTTAAAGTGTTCAACGTCTCATGCTCCGATCACTAATTCGCCTACCTAATGCCCAATTTACATTCAGCCTTTCTGTGATTTCAACGATAAAAACCATAATTCATCATCTTCTACGATGACGAATTTTCTATTTGAGATAACATAATACCTATGTACATAATTAATTATAAATGCGTCAAATTTATTATATTAATATAAAATTTAAATTATGGAATTAATGAACATTGACATTTCATTTCTAAAAACAATTAGTAACTCATATTGATTATTTATTTATTAAAAAATTTAAAATAAAGTATTAAATTAAATGGTAATATTTGCATGCAGATTTGTAAATTATAATTTTTTGTAATTAAAATTATGAATTAATTTATACTATAGTGTAATGATTAAAATAATAATAGCTTGACTAATCACATATAATATTTAATATTACTTATGTAACAATAATGTAATAATTCAATTAATAATTTATGAACAATTTATTGTATAAGAATTCAAATAGAATGGATCTGTAAAAGTATTAAATTGTACATAATATTTGAATTCAAAAAGAATGTTTGTACCTACTTTTAAGCAATGAATAATTTTAAAAGTAACATTGGGTTTGTGTAATTAGCTGTATTTCATATCATGTTTTTAAGCAAATAAATTTTCTATCTATCTATCTACCTTCTTTTGAACTTGATATCTTTTTAAATTAATTAACATAATTTTGTATTGCAAGAAGACACAGCGCGGACGCTGTAATTATTTCGACGTCTGCCATAGTCGAAAGCCGAAAGTGATGTGAGTGGTAGGGCAGAGTGTGAATACACACTTCCCGCGATCCTGCTACGGCAGTATTTAGAGAAGTATTGCCGGCAGCGCGAGGAGCAGTGGCAGGGGCTGAATGTAAATGAGGCTTTAGTTCCAAGTGTGACGATTATATTACAAACTAGCAAACCGCTCCGGCTCGCCCGAGTAAGGTTCTATTCATTAGGCGTTATTTACATTTAAAATAATCAAGGACCATTTATTTCACTAATTTTTCGTTTTTAAATAAATCACAATTTTTTTCTAGATAATATATATAGCACGGATCACTCCAGGCATTGTTTTTTATCTGTTCGTGAAGTTTCATTACAAATACAAAGATTTTAAAAATGGCTATTCATATAACGGGATTTTAATAACCCCCTCGGCTCAATATAAGGCAGATTACGATACTATAGACAGACATTTCATTTATTTATAGATGCTCATATACATATATATAATAGGTCGAGAAATAGTTTTTTCGTATTTTATTTGCATAAAATTAAAGAAAAATCTCTTTAGTTGTACTGATTGTATCTGGCTGGTTTTAATATCAATACATATAGGACATTAAGAAAAAGAAAAGTAAAAAGTAAAAAACACTTTCCCGCCATTTTTCAATTTTTTTTCTGTCCGCCAAAACGAGTGAATCTAATGAATAAATTCGATATATTCTGAAGATATATTACAATTTTTTGTAAAATTGGAAAAATGGGAAAACTGCGTCTCAACGCGCGAAATTTTTTTGAGACGTTTATGTACTTAATGAACTGTCAGTAAGAGTAGCACAAAGTTGGTTCAAACGTTTTCAGTCCGGGAATTGTGATGTCAAAGATACAGCTCGCTTTGGTCGCCCTCATACGGATAAAGTCGATACTACTTTTGAAAACCATATTAGTAGTTACGAAATAGCCGAGGAATTAAGGGTTGACCACAAAACAATTTTGACCCATTTGAACCACACAAGCTCATTGAAAGAAACTTAATGAAAAACGTACTAATTTTCTATTCTCTATTGAAACGTAATGAACCCGAACCATTTTCGAATTGATTGATCACTAGTGATAAAAGTGGATCACCTACAACAAGAACGTGTGAAAAATATCACGGTCAAAAAGTAGTCAAGGTTCTCAGACTACAGCAAACTCGGATTAACACTCAATAAGGTGATGATGTGTGTGGTGGAATGAGAAGGGCATCGTTTATTATGAGCTTTTACTACCGGGCAAACCCATCGATTCGGGTCTCTTCTGCCAACAGCTAGACTCAAGCAAGGAATTGAGAAAAAATGCTAGGAATTGATCAACAGAAAATGAGTGGTATTTCATCATGATAACGCCTATAGAGTACTATAATACACAACAGAATGGCTGTCAACCTTATTTTGTATCGAGGATAGGCATCGCCGGGATCAAACATACAAGCAAATACGTCGTATTATCACTACTACAAACCCGATTCACTATGTTGACAGACGGATTTTAATACATATTTATTTGTAAATAGCGTGCAATTTGGCGTTATCTAAATAATTTGCATGCGAAATTTGGATACGTGTGAATACATACATGAATACATACGAATGAGTACATGTTAGTGACACTTTAGTGGCTACACGGGCTCCGCCCACTCCCCCGTACTATTATATATGTATTATAGTATTCTATGATAACGCCAGAACATATACATCTTTGGCCACTTAGAAAATATTGAGAAAGCTTGGTTGGGAAGTGTTTATGCATCCACCATAAATCTAGCCTCAGATTGGCATCTGTTTCAGTCTCTTCAGAATTCTTTGAGTAGTGTTAGGTTTACACCAAAAGACTGTCAAAACTACTTGTCTCATTTTTTCATTCACAGCAACGGGATTATGTCGTGAGATGGCAACAAGTTATCTAACAAAATGGTACATATATATTATAATTATGTGTAATTAATTTTTTTTAAAAATGTCTTTAATTTGTATATAAAATACCAAGAAACTTTTTCCTCGACCTAATATATAATAATATAATGTTGAGTGTCTTTTAATCTATTTAGATTCTATATAGACACCTAATCTACATAGAATCTATCACATAATCTACACTTGCTCCGTGCGGGATTCAAACCTACGACCCTAAGCATCGCAACTCAAAGCCTAGCCAGTGCGCCACCGTGCCATATAATTGTCCAGCATAACTAAATCTTAGTTTTTACTTTAATCATTAAATTAGTCGCTTGCGTGAGAATGCCTACATAAATTATAGTTTAGTATATGCTAGGTATGTATAAAAATAATCTCAAACTCAATACACCTAATTCTAGAAGAAGAAGTGGTTTCTCACAGTATTAGTCTGGAACGTTCTGAAAATAAAAATTAAATTTTCAATGAATGCAGTAGGGTGCGACTTCAGATTTAAGATTCACTTCAATATCTTTTCTTTTTAAACTGAAATGCAGATGCGTTAACACACATGAGGACTAAGATGGAATACCGCGTTTCCAGTTAAAAAGGGTCTCCGGTTCTCTATACTCATCATACGAAACACAGCAGCATTAAGCTGCTATTTTACGCTGGTATTCCGTGAGAGCGTGGTCCTTCCCGACCCATTCGTACTAGTTCTAATACAGCTGCATACCTAGCGGCCAACAATTTAGCGTTAGAGTATATTTTATAGAGTGTAGAGGTAAGGAGAACAATCTCTCATAGGAGAATAGTTGGTTAAAAATGTGCCTCTGTAATCAATAACTAACAGTTCAAAAACTCTCCACAACAGCGCTGGAATAGCTACAGGAAATAGTTACATGAAATGAACTTAGCAGTTGTCGACGGTGTGAAGTGTGCTGCTAAACTGCACAGTAGCTCTAAAATCTAAAATAATTTTATTTAGTAAATATAACCTCGAAAAAGTCGTCTATACCACTAATATTTTTCAGTGCGTTCTTTAAAATTTACCCCGTAGCTATAGTGGCACCATCCGTATTTAACCGTTTTCTATGGACACTTTTTAATACACAGTCTGTACTCCTTACCTCTACACTCCATAGTATATTTACTTCTTTTTTCACAGATATAGATATAGCGGTAGAGCCACGCTATAACTATATTATGGTTGTAGCACGAATGAGTCGGCTCGACCGGGGAAGGACCACGCTCTCACAGAATACCATCGTCAAATAGCAGCTTAATGCTGCTGTGTTTCGTGTGATCAGTGTGGAGATCCGGAGATCCTTTTTACTGGAAACGAAGCATTCCATCTTAGTCGTCAGGGGTGACAACGCATCTGCATTTTGATTCTTAATTGAGGATAAATGTAGATGTCTATGGACCATAGCATCTATTTACCATCAGATGGACTGTGTGCTGGTTTGTCACCCTTGTTCTTTAAAAAAAAGATATCATATGAGATCTGTATATTATCTAAGAAAAATGAATGAACCTAAATCGGCAGCCTTAACATTATTAAGGCACAAACCAATGACATACAATGCGACTCAACTAAGAAGAACGTCAATGACCTGAAAGACCGCGACCTGTCAACTGAAACTTTAAAAGTACGGCTCGCAAGGAAAATTAATTTTTAGTATCAGTTAAGTAAAGTGGTGTTTTTTTTCTTATGTGTAGTTAATCGTTGAGTGCGAATTTTCTGGCGTTCCTCATAGTCCGACCTACAAGACTCATGTGACAAAATAGTGCGATGGATCCTCTTAAACCATAGAATACTATGATACACAATAGAATGGCTGTCAACCTTATTTTGTACGAGAGTCGGCGTCGCCGGGAGCACACATACAAGCAATTACGTCGTATTATCACTACTACAAACCCGATTCGCTGTGTTGACAGACTGAGTGAATTTATACATTTTAGTCTTTTGATTAATGTTCAAGATCATCATTGAAAAATCGTTTAAATTTTAATACATATTTATTTGCAAATCTAAATAATTTGCATGCGCAATTCGGAAACAATTGTAACGTCAAAACACATCTCGTGTTGACAGTTATACGTATGAATTGACATGTTAGTGACATTTTAGTGGCTACTCGGGCTCCGCCCACTCTCCGTTCTATTATGTATGCATTATAGTATTCTATGCCTTAAACCGTCACCGGAGCGGAAGCTATCAGTAGGGACTCACCTAAGCAGGTGGTGGGTGGTGGCGTCAATCCTCGAGCGCGTGCGTGCGCCAGTCGAGCTGGTCGCGGCGGGCGCGCGCGCGCTTGGGCCAGGGCTTCTTGAGGTGCACGTGCTCGACATGCGCACGCTGCTCGCCCGCCGTAGTAAAGCACTTGCCGCACGTCTCGCACTTGAACGGCTTCAGTCCCGTGTGGATCTGCCCACATATCACAACATTTATATTTCATTCCTAATTCTCTTTAAACATCCAATGCTCGCCAGATTTGTCCAAGCGACACAAGCAAATAAAACAATTTATGAAAATCTTCCTTATCACAACACAAAAAAAAACTATGGTTACCAAACCACCTGCCAAATTTGAAATAATATGGCAAATGTCCCCTCGAAAATTCATGAAAATAATATGTTTGTGTTTATCGTTACCCTGAGTTTACATTGATGCGATTTTCACAAAAAACATGTTTTAAAATATGTTTGACAGTTTATTGTACATTACATATTTTAACTATATTATATCTTTATAACTACAGAAACAAAATGTTTGAAAACAAATTTGTAGATATTGTCATGGTGAAAGATAAGTGTAAATATCTGTTGAAAATTTTACACAGTTTTTGTGAGTGCGAACGCCACCATCAACAAAACATGTTGTGTGATGTATTTTATGCGATTTGTTTCAAAGCATTACGCATTGGATGTTTCCCAGTTCAAACCTACTTATATATTCATATTTCAAACACTGCTTCTTTAGCTTGACTCCAGTTATCACTTGTAAAGAATGAATAAATTAAAACGAGCAAGTTCCTCTGACCATAACTTTGGACTTTGGACGTTACCTGCACCCTTAAGACTTCAGAATTACAAACGTGAAACTACAACTATATTAACTGGTCTATAATCCAATGAAATGCACACAATAAACATATTTGAAAATCCCAAAAATATAGAAAATTCGTTCTCGGACAAATTTAAAAATTTTATAAAAAGATTATTAAAATATTAAGGAATAATAATATAATAAGTTCTAGCTTTCAGATGATCGCTACCAAACTAAATATTTATAGTTTGTTTCGTATTGTTAGTTGTGGACATATGAAAATATTGTTTCTTTTTTTTTTTCAAAAAATTGTCTCGCTGAAATCCTTACTAAATCTTCTTATAAAGGTATTTTCAAACCAGTGGTATTTTAATTAAATAAAGGAATGACTTTCAACAAGTAACATATTTTATAATATCACAAATGAGCAGCATGTGCAGTAGTGGACGCATGCAGGAACATTTTTTTATAATCTACTTGGGACAAACAAATTGCTATTTCTAATATAATAATAATAAGGATCAGGTTGTTAAGACCAACAACTATCGGAGATACATCCTAAAGGATGGCACCGTCGTTGTCGAGCTTGTCGCCATCCCGGGGAGTCACTTAGGCTTGTCATCTCCGGTTGTTCGGCGCTTTCTAACTCTGATTACTTGCACACGCACAACCTAGTAACCAGAATTCTACACCAGGAGCTCGCTCGTGGACTGGAAATTGCCGTATTACAAGTATTTGCCGGAAGCCGTGCTCGAAAATGACCGCGCCAGGCTCTACTGGGGCCGGGCCATCATCACGGACAGGACTATTCTTGCGAATAAGCCTGATATTGTGCTCGATGGACCGGGCACAGTCAAGGATATTTTTGGTCGACATTACCATTCCGTATGACGAGAACCTCGTGAAAGCCGAAACAGATAAGCGAACAAAATATCTGGACCCGGCTCACTAGGTGACCGACATGTGGGGTGGTTTGCTGGCCGATATTATTCCTGTAGTCCTTTCTGCGAATGGGCCACTCCCGGTCAGCCTCTCTGGTCATCTGAGGCGACTGGGACTCCGTGACGGACCGCTCCGGGCTCAAATGCAGAAGGCGGTGCTCCTCGACACCGCCCGCATTGTCCGCCGGTTTCTTTCCCTTTCCTCCTAACCCTCGGCCGTTTGGTCTCCCCTGCCGAGGGCTTTCATCTGGTGGGCTTTTTTTATTTTGTATTTTTTTATTTATTTTCTTATTGATATTTATGTAGATTTTCTTTTTTTTTGTAATTTCTCGGCATATCCTTAAATTCGCAAAAAATATTGTGAGTTGTGGGCAAAAAACTATCCTATCTCAATTTCATTAAAATCAGTTAAGTAGTTTAGGAGTCCATCGCGGACAAACAACGTGACACGTAATTTATATATATTAAGATTTATAGAACCCACCCAGATGAGAAAACTATAAAGATACCCCAAATAATAATAATCTTTATTTGCATAAAACATGGTATAAACGTTGTATACGTCATCATTTTACATAGCATGCAAATATTTTTAAACAATGTATATTTTAAACAATCTATAGTATTACTTTCCTAGACATTGCATTTGTGATTATATAAGCAATGTGCGAGCCACCCATTATTTCACAATTTTCCATCTAAACTTATATTTTTAGCTTAACTTAATCCGAACAGCACCTTGCTCTTTCGGACAATGCATCTGTAGATGGAGATAGAATGCTGCTCTAGCTTACCATCATGTATACCGTAACTGTGTTAGCGCACTGCATCCCAAGTATGAAGTTAACAATGTCACTAATTCGGATATAATATTCACAGGCTGATGTAAATAAACTATTAAACACATCTTATTTATAAATCGAGGGTAGATATAGATGTCTATATTTATAAACGAGGGTGATATTTATAAATCGAGGGTAGATATAGATGTCTATATTTATAAATCGAGGGTAGATATTTATAAATCGAGGGTAGATATAGATGTCTATATTTATAAATCGAGGGTAGATATTTATAAACCGAGGGTAGATATAGATGTCTATATTTATAAATCGAGGGTAGATATTAATAAACGAGGGTAGATATAGATGTTATATTTTAATCGAGGGTAGTTTTGGTAAGATGTCTATATTTATAAATCGAGGGTAGATATTTATAAATCGAGGGAGATGTCTATGGGCTACAGCATCCAATTATCAGTCACGCTGTGTATTTCAGTAAGAGCTATTTTTTTAATTTTTCGAGTGGGTAAAGACTATTCTTACCTTAAAAGTTAAAAACGGGTGAAAGAACATTATTTATCGCTATCTTCTATGTAAGTTTCAAATCTATGATATTTACTATAATAATAATAAAGCTTTATTTTACTCCATGCACAGTACATACTAAACGATACATTTCTTAACTTATTACCCTATAACATTCAATTACATTTGTATACTTATTATTTTAGTTAGTTATATATAGTAATTAGTTTAATTTTTTTTTAATTATTATATGCTTTAATTATCAACTACCTAATTATTTAATGCATGGACCACGTTCGGGTGAAAGCCTCCCCCAAGGTATGCAACCCTTCTTTGTCAATAGCTCTGTCCAGCCAACTACCACCCGGTGATAGAAAAATATTTAGAATTTAATAAACCCCTATATTTATCTTTCATAGATTACAAAAAAGCTTTTGATTCAATTTCACAAGACAGCATCTTGGAATCGCTGAAAACGATAAACACAAATAAAAAGTATATCATCAATATCCTACAAAATATTTATTCTAACAGCACAAGTAGAGTCAAACTAGATAGAGTAGGCGAAGAAATCAACATAAAGAGAAGTTTCCGGCAAGGAGACCCGATCTCACCAAAAATTATTCATAGCCGTCTTACAACACGTAATGGGAGAGGTGCCATGGTCCAATCAAGGTATTAATATAAATGGAATCTTTTTAAGTCATCTCAGATTTGCCGATGACATAATTTTATTTTCGGAAACCCCTCACCAAATAAACAAAATGGTAAATGAATTAAACCGGGCTAGTAGAAAAATAAATTCCCTTTAGTAAGGAGAGAAATACTGAGGAACTTAACCAACGAGTGGCGATTACCTGGAACAAGTTCTAGCACCATAAGGAAATACTAAAATCGCAACTTCCGCTACCGACCAAGAAATAGTCATATATACTGGTCTTCTACCGTGCCTCACCACCTATGGATGCCAAACTTGGACTTTCGATCTCAAAACCAGGAACAAAATTCAGACTACCCAGAGAAGAATGGAAAGAAGTTGCCTAGGTATAAAATTGAAGGATAAGGTAAAGAACGTTGACATTCGAAAGAAGACAAAAGTATGCGATGCCTTAACTTTTGCAATGAAGTCTAAATGGAAATGGGCGGGTCACGTAGCCCGTTACAAGGACGATAGATGGACTCTACGGTCAGTAAAGTGGTCTGGGCCAAAAGGCACCAGATCAAGAGGTCGACCAAAGGCCAGATGGGCAGATGAAATTGAAGCGTGATATTTACTATACCGTTCTGTATATATGTATGTACATATCTGTTATATATGTATGCATATTTTTATATTAAATTATGACTTTATATTATATTAAGTGTTTATGTATGTATTTGTGCAGATGTATGTATTTATTTTATCCCCATATGTGTTGTATAATAACAAAGTGCACACGTTATAATCATTTATGAATCATATATCTTTGAAACTGGCCTACAGGAAGAAACTTCGTTATGAGACAAGTAGAGCCCTTGTACAAACTTTTCAGCATGATGTGTTAAATAAATAAATAAAGCAAGTACTCACGAACATATGGCGGCGGCGGTTGTTGAAGAAGGCGAAGTGCTTCCCGCAGAGCGGACACTCGTAGGTGGGCCGCGCGGCGCTGTGCACCCGCATGTGGAACACCAGGTTCGTCTTCTGCGTGAAGCTCTTGTCGCAGCGCTCGCACTTGAACCGCTTCTCCCCCGTGTGCACCCACATGTGGTCTTTCAGCAACGCCATACTCTGTTACCACGTTCAGATCTTTATACAAACAACATGTAACAATAACCCCGTGGTCCCCGTTAAGTGCGGATCAGAATCAGAATTCAAACGTTTATAAATAACTTTACTTCAGAAAACGCTACCATATAAAATTAAAATAAATTTTTATTTTCAAATTGCATCGAAAAGCTTTGACAATATTCTTACTCCCCCGCCTAATAAAATTAAAAAAAAAACATACAATTTGCAAATAAATATTTATTTAAACTTATACTTACTAACTTACTTTTTGTACGTGGTAGAGCCATGCTGCAGTTATAATAGTAGTATAGTTGTAGCACGAATGTGTCGGCTGGACCGAGAAAGGATCACGGTCTCACAGAATACCAGCGTAAAATAGCAGCTTAATGCTGCTGTGTTTCCTATGAAGAGTATAGAGAACCGGAGACCGTTTTTACTGGAAACAAGGCATTCCATCATAGTCCTCAGGGGTGATAACGAATCTGCATTTTGATTCGTAATCGAGGATAGATGTAGATGTCTATGGGTCACAGCAACCACTTTCCATCAGGTGAACTGTGTGCTCGTTTGTCACAATATCCCATAAAAACAGTTATATTTTAATGGTCGAGGTTATTTCTATACGTTTATTAACTTAAACGTTCGTTAACTGCTGGGTTTTTGTTGCATGTTGTATGTTATGCACCAAGTGATGAATCAGGGCATTATTTATAATGCCTGAAAAATATAAATAATGATCTAGACAGTAATACTTGTCTGAAGTTAATACTGATTTAAATTTCAAAAATTTTTTTTATTTACTATTAATAATACAAAATTTGGTTTTTTAAATATACATATTCCCGCAAAACTGCTTACACAGTTTGTCTGCAGGAAAATTTGAGTCTCATTTACATAATATATAATATTATTGCACGGAGACTTGCCAATAAATATTTCTTTAATTTATTTTTATATATGTCTTTTACTGGTTCACGTCGAATATCCTCAGGCAAACTATTGAAATGGTACGGTAGTCGTTTCTTTAAAGTTCTATCCCATTGCCTCGTCATTATGTTACGTCAATATTTTTAAGTAACTGTTGCAATTCGATATAACCTAACCTAACCATAAACTGCTCGACTTTTAAGACAACATGTTGGTAATGTACTAAATCTGAAATTATCAAGTCTAAAATTGCGAAGTAAGGGAAAAAGCACATTTACAGTATCAAATAACAGCAATGTGGTATACCTTCCTTTACGTTGCAAAGAAAAAATTCCTTTAAAAACCTTTATTCTCATTGTGGTTAATTGTTAAAAATGTTTGTTTTTTTTTTATAGAATAAGTGTAACCAACCAGCACACAGTCCACCTGATGGTAAGTGGTTGCTGCGGCCCATAGACATCTGCATCTATCCTCGATTGCGAATCAAAATGCAGATGCGTCGTCACCCGTGAGGACTAAGATGGAATGCCTCGTTTCCAGTAAAAGGGGTCTCCGGTTCTCTACACTCACCATACGAAACACAGCAACAATAACCTGGTATCTTACGCTGGTATTCTGTGAGAGCGTGGTCCTACCCCAGTGGAGCCGACTCATTCGTGCTACAACCATAATAGTTGCAGCGTGGCTCTACCACGTATAAATATATGACACCAATCTTTTTATATCTTTTTATAACTGCCTTACAATTACAAGTCACCGACTTTATTCATAAAGCCCGATCAATTAAATTATTTCAATAGATTTGTTCGAGAGCCGTGGTAGCTCAGATTGTTAGCGCTTGCTGTAAATATTACAATACCGGATTCGATCCCCGCTGCACCATTTAAATAGTTAATTGTAATTGCTGATTCACCACGTGCTCGGCGGTGAAGAAAAACATCGTGAGGAAACCTGCATATGTATTAGAAGTAAGAGAAAAAAATATTATACTCGTATATGAAGTTCGCCAACACTTCTTGGGACAGCGCGGCGGAACCTTCCTTGCACTAAAACCCACTCAGAAATGAGAGGAGGCATGTGCCCAGCAGTTGGACGTAAATACCTAAATTGCGACGTAATATTGTTGCAAACCATAATTGATGCCCATAGCGCCATCTAGTGTCGGGGAGCAGAGCGAAGAGAGCTTTCTAGAAAATGCCATGCCTGAACTTTCCACTAACAGCGCCATCTAGTATCGAATAGAAGAATTAAGCTTTCTAGAAAAGTCCACACTCGAATTTTCTACATCTAGTCGGTCGGGACCGGTATTTGCTGGAACATTCTAGATGTTTCGGTGGAAAAGGCCTATATAAAGCCGTTTAAGGCCACGACCGGGGCAGTATTGAATTTGCGATCAGAGCGAAGCTCTCGAAGCGAAATAAAGTGAACTAAAGTGTTAAGTGTGATTAATTATTAGTGTGATTTAAGTTTTAATTGGTGTTAAAGTGTCAGTAATTAAAGTGTCAATTTTAGTAATATTAGAAACAAAAATACAGAAATATTGATGTGTCAAAAATATTAATCAAGTTTAAAATGTGTAAATTCGCTCAGTCAACACAGCGAATCGGGTTTGTAGTAGTGATAATACAACGTAATTGCTAGTACGTGTGGTCCCGTCGATAACGATTCTCGTAAAAATAAGGTTCACAGCCATTCAATTGTGTATTATAGTATTCTATGGTCCATATCAATATATCACAAATACATCCCAACGGTAAGTACAACATATAAAACAAACAAACAGAGAGTGAGAGAGAAAAAAAATACACATGACAATTAGGATAAACATAAATTGTGTTCTAAAATTACTAATCCTAAAATCTAAACAATAATAGAAGGACAGCAACGATATATATATATATATTTTATATATATATATATATATATATATATATATATATATATATATATAGTATAATCAAAACAATAACAGGTAGTTAAAAACATAAAATAAACACAAAAAAAAGAAAAAGAATGGAACACAAATAAAAATAAAAACGAGAAGTAAAACTCTAATTGAATTATATCATACAAATAAATTATAATATTTGCCATGTTAGCACGCTGGCCGGCAACAGCAGGTACTTTTATTTATGTAAAAACTGTTATCAGAAAGACGTTACTGCCACTCTCCTCATTTGTTTTCCTCCGTGGCCTCTACCGACACCCACGTAATAAGCGCTAGTGAGAGCGTAGTCAATATTATGTACTTTTAGAGAATTATGAGTTGGAGAACAAATATAGGAAGAATCTAGGCTATATTTAATTTTTTTTAACTTTTTGATTTTTTAAGATTTTGAAACATCCAAGCGAAGTCGGGTCGTCTCACTAGTAAATAAATGATTGTTGAAGTTTCTTACAATAAAAATTGAAAGGGCACAGTAGATACGAGTTGTAGAACAAATCTAGGAGGTATCTAGGCTATATTTCATTTTTTTTTTAAACTTTTTGATTTTTTAAGATTTTGAAACATCCAAGCGAAGTCGGGTCGTGTCACTAGTAAATAAATGATTGTTGAAGTTTCTTACAATAAAAATTGAAAGGGCACAGTATTTACGAGTTGTAGAACAAATCTACGAGGTATCTAGGCTATATTTAATTTTTTTTAAACTTTTTGATTTTTTAAGATTTTGAAACATCCAAGCGAAGTCGGGTCGTGTCACTAGTAAATAAATGTTTGTTGAATCTCTTACAATATAAACTGGTAGAGGATAGTAGTCGAGGCTGACCTGGAAGATCCTGCCGCACTGCTCGCACATGCAGGGCGTCTTCATGGCCGGGTACTTGGTCCGGTTCTTATCCGGGTGCGCGCGCCGGAAGTGCTGCGCGTACAGCCGCAGGTCGCGCAGTTGCACGCCGCACTGCAATAGAAAGAGGAAAGAAAGAAAGAAAGAAAAAAACTTTTATTGCACGCCACAAACATCACTAGGCAATTAAATTTTAACATTTCTAGACACATCAATCTCAAATAGTTATTACGTTGTTTTCATTTATTTATACGGATATTTTTTTGTAGAATAACCTGATGGTAATATGATATGGGCATTTGTATATATATATAGTAGAGCTAAGCTGCAATCATATTACAGTAGCAACGTAAACGGGTCGGCTCGACCGGGGAGGAACCACGCTATCACAGAATACCAGTGTAAAATAGCAGCTTAACGCTGCTGTGTTTCGTATGGTGAGTGAAGGGAACCCGAGACCCTTTTTACTGGAAACGACGCATTTCTTCTTAGCCCTCAGGGTTGGCAACGCGTCTTCATTTGATTCTTAATCGACGATAGAAATAGATGTCTAAGGGCCATAACCCACAACATCCATTTGCCAAAAGGTAACCTGCGTGCTGGTTTATCATACATATTCTATAAAGAAATGCCAAATAAACAGTCACATTAAGTAAGGGTCTATGAAACTTGTGTGCTCACCTGCTCGCAGGCAACAGGCCCGGTCTCCGGCCGCTGGTCTCGGTCCGCTAAAGACCGCGGATGTACTACCGGTCTCCTCTCGATGCGCCGCACTGTTCTACCAGCCCGCTCGGAGTTCATACTCTGAGAGTCGTTTCGAATTCGATTTCTGGTGAAGTGAAATGAAAATTATCCGTACAATCTCCAGTGTAAGAATATCCACTTCCCCCGTATCTTCCCGAGGGGGTCGTAGGGGACAACAGAGGGGAAACTAAGACCGGTGATGGCCAGCAGCATCTTTATCATCATCATCATCATCATCATAACAGCCCTTCACAAGTCCACTGGTGAACGTAGGCCTCCCCCAAGGAATGCCACAAAGTACGGTCCTGAGCCACCTGCATCCATCGACTTCCTGCATGTCTTACCAGGTCGTCACTCCATCTAGTGGGGGGCGCCCTACACTTTCACTATGCTCACGGTTTCTCTACGTGATAGACGTGAGCATATACGCCAGTAGAAGCAGAGTGACCGACATAGTCCAACGGATTAATAAGCTGAAGTGGCAATGGACCGGCCGGTTCGAAGAAACGACAACCGATGGGGAAGAAAGGTTCTCGAGTTGCAGCCTCGTAGCGGTGTAATATTGGAAAGTGTTAATGAAAAGAGAGGCGTGTTGCTTTTGCTATGAATTTAATAATACTGCTTAATTATTCTACCCATAGAATACTATAACACACAATAGAATGGCTGTCAACGTTATTTTGTACGAGGATCGGCGTCGCCGGGAGCACACATACAAGCAATTACGTCGTATAGTGATACTACTACAAACCCAATTCGCTGTGTTGACAGACAGATTTTATACATATTTATTTGTAAATAGTGTGCAATTTGGCATTTTCTAAATAATTTGCATGCGAAATTTGAATACGTGTGAATTGACGTGTTTTTGACATTTTAGTGGCTACACGGGCTGCGCCCATTCCCCCGTTCTATTATGTATGTATTATAGTATTCTATGATTCTACTTTAACAATAATATATATTAACGTTGGAGCTATGCTATACTACACTACGTTACCTTACACTAAATTACACACTACACTACACTACACTACACTACACGACACGACACTACACTACATGATATTGGCAGGCGAAAGCTGTGGTTGTCAGTAAACACATTAGGTTTTCTTAAATTACTGTTTTAACATGCTAATTTCGCTTCTACTACCGAACTCGTTTATAGCTCCAAGTGGTGTAAAAGCCATAATGATTGTTGAGTATTTCATAATATGTACTTTGTTCCATTAAATACTTATATGTAAAGCTAGTGTCTAATTACCTTTGACCTAAATAAAATAAGTTTACACGAGGCCCACGCCCATTAGTGGACTGCTATTAGACTACTGGTAGAGCCATGCTGCAGTCATATTAGTAGTATAGTTGTAGCACGAATGGGTCGGCTCGACCGGGGAAGGACCACGCTCTCACAGAATACCAGCGTGAAATAGTAGCTTAATGCTGCTGTGTTTCGTATGGTGAGTGTAGATAACCGGAGACCTTTTACTGGAAACGAGGCATTCCATCTTAGTCCTCACGGGTGACAACGCATCTGCGTTTTGATCCTTAATCGAGGGTAGATGTAGATGTCTATGTGCCACAGCATCCATTTAACATCACGTGGACTGTGTGCTCGTTTGTCACCCTATCCTATAAAAAAACGAATAAAGAAAAGACATAAATACATAACACTTACGGGTCGTTGTCGCTGCTGTGCCTCGAAGAGAGCTTCAGATGCCTCGTATGAGCCTCTTCCGATATGAATCGTACCTCGCACACCTCGCAGTACGGGCCTTCGATTGTTATCTGAAAAAATATAATTTTACTTTTTAAAAACCTACGCAAATCCATTTTAGTCGTCTTCAAAAAAGGTCAGCAATTCGTCTGTATTTTTTTATGTATATCAAGTGATATATTTGCCGAATTAGTACACGTGGTAGAGCCATGTTGCACTTTTGGTCTGTGTTCCGAAATAGAACCCAGTATAATAGCCAATGCAAATGACGTCATAAATCGACGCCATACTGGTGAATCGTTTCAAAACATTGGCCTGTATATGACACCATACATGCTCTTGACCACTCTTCCTCACTAAAAAAGAATGAGTATGATTTATCGTTCTCTTCATCGTACATGATTAACTGTTTAAACTCTGCCGTTTTTTGTATTTTAATGAATGAAAATCACAATTAAAAATTGTTTTTTTTAAATAATATTAACAATGCTATAAACATTACTAATATTCCCCTTAACCACTCGTGGCAAGCTTAAATTGCTTGTGTTACAAGTGGTTCACGCCAGTAGTCGAATGGCGGATTCGAATCCACGCCCTTTTTGAGTTCGCTGTCCGCATCCTGCCATTAGGCTACTGTCGCTTAATTAAAAGTTTTAATGTGGCGGGATATCCGACACAATATGGCGACGGCACGCCAGTACGATATGGCGTCAATTAATGACGTCATTTGCATTCGCCAGTAAAATTCGTTAAAATCAGTCCAGTCGTTGTCAAGTGATGATTTTCGATATATGCGAAGGTTGACTTTTATTTATATTTTTATTTAAAAACAAATAGGGGTAGCCGATTCGCCGAGTGTCGTAAGAGGCGACGGAGTGAAACTGTACCTGGAGATGGGTAACAGTGTCATCAGGTAAAGACATGGCGTACAGCTGCCTAAAGCGAATAAATTTCCTTAGACTGTTAAAAGAGTCAACACAGATGAACAATCTTTATATTTGACTATTTCGACCTCAGACGACGTAATTTTCTACATATATTTTTATACGTGGTAGAGACATGCTGCAGTTATATTAGTAGTATAGTTGTAGCACGAATGGGTCGGCTCGACCGGGGAAGGACCACGCTCTCACAGAATACCAGTGTCAAATAGTGGCTTAATGCTGCTGTGTTTCGTATGGTAAGTGTAGAAACAGAAACAGAAACTTTTTTATTCAATGTAGATTATAACAAATACTTATTGAAAGTCACTTTTTTCATTTATCACTGGTTCGCAAAAAAAAAACCTCTGTCCTGGGAAGAACCAGCAAGAAACCCAGCAGTAGAGAACCGGAGACACTTTTTACTGGAAACGAGGCATTCCACCTTAGGCCTAACGGGTGACAACGCAACTGCATTTTGATTCTTAATATTATATTCCTATATGTAGATGTCTATGGGCCGCAGCAACCACTTACCATCAGGTGGGCTGTGTGCTCGTTTGTCACCCTATGCTATAAAAAAAAATTATAATGATAGTGAAAAACTAGCACACAGTCCATCTGATGGTAAGTGAATGCTGTGACCCATGGACATCTATTCCAGTAAAACTTTATACGACACACGAAACATATTAGTACCGAGCAGCTATTTTACGCTGGTATTCCGTGAGAGCGTGATCCTTGTAGCCGGAGAAGGACCACGCTAGCTACGAAGTAGTGATTGTAGAGAATCGGAGACCAGTTTTACTGAAATCGAGGCATTCCATCTTAGTCCTCAGGTGTGACAACGCATCTTTTTTTCGATATTTAATCGAGGATAGATGCAGCTGTTTATGGGCCACAGCATCCATTTACCATCAAGACGATTGTGTGCTCGTTTGTCACCCTATAACATATAAAAAGTCGTCATCGGAAATTTTATAGTACATGTTCGACATTCGATCGTAGCCTGTAAAAGTCCTCACTTGCATACAACAACAAAATAAAAATAATTGTAATGATAATTCAAAGCGTCATACGCTTCGTGACTCACGTAACGACACCACAAAATATTAGAGTTGGGCCGATTTGCCGCCGACTAATCGATTAATCGGCCCATTTGTAGTCACCTATTAGTCGCCGATTGGAATCGGCTTTTTATTTTATTAATTTCAGCAAAGGTTTTTCGTGATTTCCTGCGTAGTAACTGCGGCTACATTGATATGAGTAAAGCTTTAAATTTAATAAAAGTGTAGTTTTTCTCCCATGCGTAGTCTCACGTGAGATTTATTTCTTTATTTATTTTATTTATTCTTTATTTCAGCAAATATTTTGTACAAAAGGTGAGTTTAATGCTATATGGCATTCTCTACCAGCTAACCTTGGGTAGAACAGAGAGTGAGTTATGGGCAGTAAAGATGTCATGATCTCAGTCAATTCAAAATGTACATGCTACACATACATATAATATATATATATATACACATATATATTATATACACTTACACACATACATATGTATATACATATATATATACATATATACATACACATATACATATATAAATATATATCTCCATAAATTTATATACAAATAACTATAAACATAAAGTAAGTGGACTCAAATTTGTTGGTTACGGATATATTCGTATAGTTTTCTTTTAAACACGTTTTTAGCAGGTATTATGCGCAGGTCAACAGGCATATTGACATTATTTATATGTAGGTTATACAAATAAATAATAAAATATTTAGGTTCATACATAACTTTTATTGAAAAATCATTCTCACATGTTTTAATGTTAATTATTCTGGACATAGGAACTTTGGAAAAAAAATCTGGGGTAGATATTTAAAACTAAACAAAAAACCTAAGTAAAATTCCATGAATAGTTAATGTAGAAAGTAAAGTCAAAAGTAAAGTTAGTCCTAAGGGTCACAACGCATCTGCATTGTGATTCTTAATCGAGGATAAATGTAGATGTCTATGGGCCACAGCATCCACTTACCATAAAGTGGAGTGTGTGTTCGATTGTCACCCTTATTTTACTATAAAAAAAGATAAGGAAGATGTCCAGCATCACTCACAGTTTTGTCATGCAGCCGATGTTTCTTTTTCTTGTGCACGTCGATGCCCTTCTTGCTCACAAACGTGTAGCCGCACAGCTCGCACACAAAGTCCGACACGTGTTTAATCCTTATGTGGCCCATGTAAGTCGTTAGTTTGCTGAAATGTATAAAATTTATATTTCTACTAATGCCTCGTTGGTCCGTAGATTGTAAACGCGACTGCTGATAATGTGATCCCAGGTTCGAATCCCAGGTCGAGTCAAAATAAAATCAGTTATTAAATGTTTCCGTCGAGAAATTTTCAGTAGCTGCCCGAAATCAGGAAGTTGGTGTTCCACCCCCACGCCTAGGAAAGTAAATACGTAAAGCCGTAGGTCTTGCGCCTGATCTCTCTCCGGTTGTGTCGGATTGTGGTCCCATCGGACTGTGAGAGGGAGGGAATAGAGAGTGCAGCTGTGCGTATACACTCTGGCATACATTAAGACTGGCCGCCTTAATCGAAATTCGGTCTGGAGGACATAATTATAACTACCAGCCCATTAAGACTCAACTGTTAAACGTAGCTCTCGGATAATTAAGATGAAGATCATATGATCATGTGACCCGCATGCTCGTTTGCCCTCTATTATATAAAAATATGCTCTCTTCCATCTATCATCAATTAAAGTCCACTGCTGAACATAGGCCTCCCCATAGATTGCCCCATAAATATTCCCCATATTTGCCACAGCTGCCACGCTCGACAATCGAATTGGTAACTACAGTATTTTTATTGCTATTAAAAAGACACTGCTGCCAATTTCCTGATTTGATTCCCGTCTGTCGCGACTTACGACACCCACGGGATGATATGGGACAGTGGGTATTCTTACAGCGACACTACACGGTATTCTATTCTATTCTAACATAAAAACATCACGTAGGCCTGTAAAGAATATAGGAAAGTGATAAATAATAAAATTTAAATCAGTATTAAGGTGTTATAACATATTTTTGAAGTTTTATAGATTACAAACCAAAATGGGATATGATTTTTGACTACCTACTTACTTACCTTGGATTGCATAAAAGGAAAACACGACATCATGTAATTTTCTCGATAGAAAAAAAACTGCAAAGTAGGCTCTAATTATTTACATTTCTCGAGGATACCACAATATTCTTACAAATAATTTCATGGAATTATTTTTAAGGCATAGTAAATAATCCTATCTAAGTTCTCATAAACCAGTTTTTAAGCCATAACGAAGTTTTGTTAAAATGAATAAAAATGTTGTTTGGCGCTTACTTGGTTTTTTTCCAAGCGCTTGCTCGTTATGGCTATCTCATAATTTGCGTACTATGAAGTCATTGCATCACTTTCATTTTGACACTCCCTCAGTAGTCCGTTAGCTTGACCGACAAAGGATTAAGCCACGCCCCCAAAACTTCGATTCATTTTCAAGGTATCCTCTTAATTTCAGACAAATATTACTGTCTGGTCATTTATCATATTGACCGGGCATTATAAATAATGTCCTGATTCATCACTTGGTCACACATATACGTCAAACAACTGATCTCAATCCTACACCATTATATCTTTTAAAAATAAACATGGTTATAAAGTTCACACTTTTTCGATATCCTATAGGATACATTGTCTCGTATTGTCGCAAAATTGAATTTGTATATCAGTTCTTATTTACCACAATATATAATATATTTATTAACTATTCGAAAAAATTATATTTAAAGGCGGTAAAATGTTGAAAATTATAGACTGAATATTCGCCAATCTATGCTACATTGCCTGATATTATGTTAAGTCAGCTATTTTCATTTTTCAATTCCATTTGTAATACTAAGGCACGCTTAATGCCAAAGTTATAGCCACTTAGGCTAATGGTAATTCTACAATAAGTAACTAATTAATTCCTGCGCACAATCACCTTATTAATAATTATTAATAAGGTGATTGTGCGCAGGAATTACATGCTTTAATTCCTCCCCCTCCTTTCCACCATCAAACAACCAGGCGGTGGGCAGGTCTTCACCCCTTTGTTGTCGATATTCAACGCATTAGAACCAAACGGATTGCTGCATATTTTGTAATCCGATTACAATTTGGGTGTCTTCAAAGCAAGAGTGAATAGGCTTTTGTTACGCTAACACAGTGCGTGAGACAGTAGACGTACCATCAAGGGCTACATCACCACTTACCATCAGGTAGGAAAATTGTCAAGCACTGACTCACGATAAGTTAAAAAAAGTATATGTAATAACAGAAGTCAACTTACTCAAACTCGCACGGGCAGTGCGGACATTGGTATTTAGTCCCCGCGTGCCATTTCTCGTGCTCTCGCGCTACTCCTCTGTAAACAGAAAAGCAAAATTAAAGTTAGTTAAAGTTACAGCCTATATACGTCCCACTGCTGGGCACAGGCCTCGCTCTTTCTGAGAGGGTTTTAGGGCAAGAAAGTGTACGGCGCGCTGCCCCAATGCGTGTTGGCGAGCTTTACATGTCTTCGAAATTTTTTTTTCTTATTTCTCAGACATGCAAGTTTCCTTGCGATGTTTTCCTTTTCCACCGAGCACGTGGTAAATCAACACAACTGCAATTAACAATTTCATTGGTGCCGACGGGGATAGAACCCGGGTTGCTCGCGTTCTATGAAATTTACAGCGAGCGTTAATTAGTAATATTTTATATCAAACAGGTTAGAAATTAATAAACTAAACTATGGATATTCCTAAAGGTAGAAAAATTATAAAAAGATTTAAAAAAAATCTGCAAAAAATTAAAGCAAAACACTGAAATATTGTTTTTACCGAATTCAAAAGGAGGAGGTATTCAATTCGACTGTTTGTTTTCTTTTAAGTGTGTTACCATACACTTTTCTCTGGGTAGGCCGATTTTGATGATTTTTTTATCTAAAAGCTGGTGCCGCTCGTGTGATCCCATATAAATTTAATCAAGACATGACCAGTAGTTTTTAAGTTATCTTTATAATGCGTATTTAATTGACTTCGAATACGTTGATGATGTTCTCATTTCATTTATATTGAAGTCGGTTGCATAATTTTTTTACCACTAAATATATATTTGTATATATATATATATATATATATATATATATATTCATATATATATATATATTATATAGTGGTGTAAAGCCCAATATATACTTCCAGTATCTATTTCTACTAAATATACTATATAGTAAAGAGATGATAGTTTCTTTTAAATTTTATAGATGACAGAGCAAAATACCACATTCTGTGAAGTGTGTGTTATAAATATCCAAGAGGCGATGAAGGGGTGCCTGTGCCCCAGCGTTTTTTTCACACCTCATAGTGTAAAACAAACGTGGTACTGCGCGCTAAATTACACTTCTCGGTTCAATATTATATAACTTATTGCTGATGTAACTACGGTCAACTTTAACGTGGTGAAGCCATTGCTGCAGTTTTACTGTGATTGCAACACGAATGTGTCGGCTCGACCGGGGTAGGACCACGCTCTCGCAGAATACCAGTGTAAAATAGCAGCTTCATGCTTCTGTATTTCGTATGGTGAGTGTAGAGAACCGGCCCTTTTTACTGGAAACGAGACATTCCATCTCAATCCACAGGGCTGGCAACACATCTGCGTTTTTATTCTTTGTTGAAGATAAATGTATGACTAATAGAAGATAAGTCTATGGACCACAGTATCTACTTACCATCAGGTGGACTGTGTGCTCGTTTGTCAACCCTTATTCTATAAAAAAGTCAATCCCGTTATATCACAACCCATGCAGCATCACAGGCATAATGAACGAGCGTCTAAACTTAGTAGTTTATAGTGTTTTAATAATTGTATGTATGGAATTCTAGAATGGTAACATTTATAATTTTTTGCAGAAGCATTGACTTACCATTAGGTGGTCTATTCGGTAATAAGAAGGACAGACTCACCTATTCCTGGTGACGAACGGGCACCCCTTGCAGCTGAACTTCTCGGTATGCTGAGCCGTGAGGTGTTTACGTAGGGCGCGGCCAGTCTTCAGCCTGGTCTTGCATATAAAGCATTCATATGCACCGCTTTGCTGGAGAACGAGGATACGTTGTGAACATCAGTAAGGAAACACGATAGCTGTTGGACAAGCCTCCGTATCTCATAAAAGATTGTTTTGTGATATAGTGTTGTAGTCCACACGACATAATTATGTTATAATCTTAAGTTTAGAATAAAAGAAGTCTAAATTGTACGTGGTAAAGCCACGAATGGGTCGGCTCGACAGCCGCATCAAATAGCAGCTTAACCCTTAAGTGCATGAACTTTTTGTTTTAACTAATTTAAACATATAATTTAGATGTTTAGGTCTGGAATTTGGGAAAAATAAAGAAAAAAAATTATTTTCATTTTTTTTAAAGTAATTTTAATAAAAAAAAGTTTGTATCATTTTTGATACATTATGCATTAACGTCATTTTTTGTACGGTAAGTTAAGTAACTTTCCTACCTAACCGATTTTGTTGAATAGTTCCCAGACATAATATCCCTTTCTTAGCTAAGTAATACATATGAGATAAAGAGGTGTGGAAATTGTGAAAGTAAACAATGTGGTTTACTTTGCGTGGGATAATCCTCAACAATTTTACAACAGTGTTCCCAACCACTCCCAGATATGGTTCGTTTTCCATCATAGGTTCATTATCTTTTCCTGTATAAATTATAATTTTGTATGCATACCCTAGCAGTGAACATAGCATATAAAATTTGAACCCCCCATTTGTGAGGTTGTTTTGTTTTAGGAAGTGGCCCATTTTCGTTGCACACATTTTTATGTGTTCATCTGTGAAAAGCCTTTGGTCTATATGAATGCTGGAAACTCTCATTCAGATGTTCTACCTCAGGTCGCAGCTTGTGTAGTTTATCGTGGTTGGGGTTGTCTATAGGCAGGTGTTTGAAGTTGTCGTTAAAATGTAATATATATCAAATTTGTTCAAATCTATATAATGTCATACTCTGTATAATTGGCATAATTCCGTATTTTTTATTCCAGTAAGCTCCTATATTTGGATGATGAAAAACTGACATAGATATTAATTCCCATCAAGTACTATTGTAACTTTGATTTTGTGATTGGATCTGGTCGGTCGGGATTTTTTTGGATTGAATATCGAGTAGACCTTTTACAATCTTATCTAAAAAATCAGGAGTAAAAAAATTAACTGAAAAATTGATATGGACTTTCTAGGGCTATAACTTAGAGAGAATATTTTGTCTCGTTCTGAAAACGAATGTTATCTTCCCAAAACTCTGAGGAATGTTTCCTTCATTTAAGTCTAGCATTTTCAATCGTAATTTGACACCTGTTGGGAATATTTTGTGCAAAACCACTACCTTCATTCACTAAGGGAGGATTATCATCATTTCGCAAATAATTTTCGTCATTTACAAGAGGTGGTACACCTTCGTCCCGGATTTGAGGCTTATGGAAATCACCGTAACCCATTTGTTCTTCCCCGTGATTTTCTAAAGCAGCACGAATTTCATCAATATTTGGGTGATGATCTAATTCATAATCATCAGACTCTGCTTTCTCCTCCGATAAAAATCCACCTTCCAATATTGCTAAAAGGTCTTCAATCTCATTATCTTTTATTTTTCTTTTTTCCATGCTCCAAAAGTGAGGAAAAACATATAACAATCACATATCATACAAGCCTACTATAGTAGCGAAAATGTACAAACGGGACCTACTAACTGCATAATGTATCATTTTTGATACAACTAAAATTATCATTTTTTTTTATCAAACGCCAGTAAAATTCACTTGAAATATGTGTTTAACAAAGAAACAATACTCTAACCTGTATTTTTTAATATTTTTCTGGGTCAGCTTTTGTGTTAAAATCACTCCAAAATAAATCAATAAAAATTTATAATCCCACGAAAAAAGGTTATGACAGACAGGAAAAAAGTTTTCATAGTTACCGCCAAATTATTTAGGAAATGGTCATCGATTACTTAAACATTCTAAAAGATGATTAGGCATAGGACATATTTAACATACAGCGTAGTTGTGTGTACGTAGTTTAACAAAATTATGAATCGATAATCTCATCGTATCATTTTTGATACAATAGCAGCTTAATGCCGTTGTGTTTCGCATGATGAGTGTAGAGATCCGGAGACCCTTTTTTACTGGAAACGAGACATTACATCTTAGTTCTCAGCGGTGACGACATCTGCATTCTGTTACGTAATCTAGGATAAATATAGATGTCTATGGGTCACAGCGTCCACTTACCATCAGGTGGACTGTGTGCTCGTTTGTCACCCTTACTCTACAAAAAAAAACTCAAAAAAATAAAGTTCTTTACCGTGTAGTGGCGGTGTAAGAATATCCACTATCACATATCATCACGTGGGTGTCGTAAGAGGTGACAGAGGGAAACAAATCATATGGGCAGCCGCGTCTTCCTAATAACGACTAAAAATAAAAAAACTGCAGTTGCCAACCCGCTTGCCAAGCGTGGCGACTGTGTCAAATTGGCAAATATCCTCCTCCCCCTCTATAAGACAAATTATCGGGAGACATATTTGGCAGTGGACTTTAATAGGCTGTAAACATACAATAGACATAGTCCTCCCCCACTGTAGGAAGAACGATTGGCATTGGATTGAGGATCCCAGTACTAGACGTGAGCACTTTTGTCGCTGTATTCCGTCACTGGTTTGGGACATTTATTTTTTATTTATTTTTTATAGAAGAGGGGGCAAACGAGCATGCGGCTCACCTGATGAGTGACTACCGCCGCCCATGATCAACTGCAACACCAGGGGAATTGCAGGTGCGTTGCCGGCCCTTTAGAAAGGAGTAAGCTCTTTTCTTGAAGGTCCCCAGGTCGTATCGGTCCGGAAAAATCGCCGGTGGTAAACTATTCCACAAAGAGGTTGTACGCGGAAGAAAACTCCTTTTGAAACGTACTGTGGTGGACCGCCAAGCATCCAGATGGTGTGGATGGTATCGGGACGTTTGCCGCGTAGTGCGTTCACGAAATTTGGCGGCTGGGATTAATCCGAACAATTCCTCATAGCACTCTCCATGGTATATGCGAAAGAAAATGCAAAGGGATGCAACATCTCTTCGCAGTGCCAGTGAATCGAGCCGATCGGAAAGCACTCGGTCGTCGACGATTCGAGCCGCTCTGCGCTGGATGCGGTCAAGTGGAAGGAGCTGGTACTAGGGAGCCCCAGCCCAGAGATGGGAACAGTATTCCATGAGCGGCCTAACCTGCGCCTTGTAAAGTTGCAGGCGGTGTGCCGGCATGAAATACTGTCCCGCTCTGCTGAGCACGCCAAGCTTTTTAGAGGCCAATTTGGCCTTCCCTTCCAAGTGACCACGAAACTGCACGTCACTCGATGTGTCGACGCCGAGGATTCCGATACTAGCTGAGGCAACAAGGGGAGTGCCTTGAAACTGAGGGGATACGACAAAGGGGTTCTTTTTAGCGGTTAACGCGCAAATTTGTGTCTTCTGGGGATTAAACTGGACTAGATTTAGTCGCCCCCAATCCGAGATTCTGTCCAGCAGAGACTCGACTTCAGACACAAGTTTGTCCCGGCACTCAGAGACGTTTTCCCGAGAAATATTGGCTCGGTCGGTGTAAAGAGCATCACCAGTGCTGTCATCTGCATAGCAATGAATGTTACGGGTTTGCAACATATCATTGATATGCAGAAGAAACAGCGTTGGCGATAGCACGCAGCCCTGTGGAACACCAGCATTAATAGGCTTGCAATCGGAGCTTGCACCGTCTACAACGACCTTGATGCTTCGATCTGCAAGAAAACTGGTGATCCAATCGCACCATTTCTCGGGAAGCCCATAGGAAGGGAGCTTCGAAAGAAGCGCTTTGTGCCAAACCCGATCGAAGGCCTTCGCAATGTCCAAACTAACGGCCAGTCCACCTGATGATAAGTAGCATAGAATACCATAATACATACATAATAGAACGGGGGAGTGGGCGGAGCCCGTGTAGCCACTAACATGTCAATTCACACGTATAAATGTCAACACAATCAATCGTTTCAAATTTTCCTGTCAAGCGTCGTGTATGCAAACTAATGGAAATTGTGCAAAAATTACGTGTCGAAAGAACAGCGGGAAATGGAATTTAAATAAGGGAGACATATCCTACAACCAGTAAGTCGAAACTATTTATTATTTTTGTGAATATTAGAAACAAAAATAAAGAAATATTTATGTGTCAAAAACATTAATCAAAAGTCTAAAATGTGTAAATTCGCTCAGTCTGTCAATACAGCGAATCGGGTTTGAAGTAGTTATAATGCGACGTAATTGCATGTGTGCTTCTGGCGACAACGATCCTCGTACAAAATAAGGTTGACAGCCATTCTATTGTATATATAGTATTCTATGATAAGTGGATGCTGCGGTCCATAGACATCTACATCTATAATGATTTTCTATATTAACGCGAATACTACACATGGAATAAAACCAACTTTACGCATTTTATCGCGTTTAATTTACGGATTTTATAACTTTCTTGATTACCGACGTTTCGACTTGCTTGTGAATGTTGTCTCTCTTACATAGGACAAACTAAAAATTCTATTAAAACCCGCGTTAAAGAACATATAGCTGATGTGAAGAATCGACGCTCCGGGAAGTCTGCAGTCTGTGAACATGTACAGGATCGGCCCCGTCACTACATCAGATTTGATAGACCACAAATCCTCGCTAAAGAACACCGATTCCTTCCAAGGATGATTCGCGATGCTATTGAAATCAAAAAACATCCTAATTTCAATACAGAATATAGCTGGGTGCTACCATCTGCCTGAGATCCTATTATTAATTAAATTAAATTCAAACCCAAGCATACTACTGGAAAACTTCAAGATACTGTAAGCTCGTTCTGCGTAGGTCGGACCAAGAATTAATAATTGAAAGTTGAAGGTAGCCTTCGTTAACTATGATATCGGGACGTCAAACACCTCAGTCCCCCCGTTACCATGGGTGCTGTAAAGTGCTAGAAATTTCGGAAATATTAAAACTTTCCAGTGCCCGACACCGACACCTCGAGAATCGAAAAAGTTAAAATTAAACGCGATAAAATTCGTAAAGTTGGTTTTATTCCATCTTCTTTTATCCTCGATCAAAAAATCGCCACGTTTCCGGTAAAAAGGGTCTCCGGTTCTCTACACTCACCATACGAAACACAGTAACATTAAGCTGCTATTTAACGCTGGTATTCTGTGAGAGCGTGGTTTTTCCCTGGTCGAGCCGAACCATTCGTGCTACAATCACAATATAGCTGTAGCATGGCTCTCCCACATATAAATAATATAATATAAATGATGGATAAAAGAGTTGAAGAAGGGGGAATGGGGAAGAAAGATTCTCGGTACCGGTAAACGAAGTGTATGGCGGTTCCCCACTAGATGGAGTGACGACATGCATGCTGGTGGTTGTGGTTGTCCTTGGGGGAGGCCTATGTTCAGCAGTGGACTTGTGAAGGGCTGTAATTATGATGATGAATGAAATGGATGAATGGATAACAACACAAAGCCTTACCTCGCTGTGCCTCACAATATGGGCATCATATCTGTCCTTGATCTGGAAGCCTCGGTAGCAGACCGTGCATTTGTAGGGGGCGTTCTTGTATATCGACGTCTCCTGTCGCTTGCTTATCTCCTCGATCTGCTCCTCGTACGTTAGTGTGGTTATCGTAAACAGAGATTCATCCAGACCATCGTTCGTTCTTCGCCTCTTTACATCTGAATTTTTATATCTGAAAGAGAACGCTGAAATAGATTTTCTAATTGCTTCCAATTCTAAGCATAACATATAGAATGAGGTAGTTGCTTCCAAGCTGTTTCTAAAATAAATATTAAATATGGTTTGTAAAACAAATTTTACGTGGTAGAGACATGCTGCAGCTATATTGTAGTAATATAGTTGTAGCACGAATGGGTCGCCGCGACCGGAGCTGGATCACGCTCTCACAGAATACCATCGTTAAATAGTAGCTTAACGCTGCTGTGTTTCGTATAGGGAGTGTACAGAATCGGAGACCCGTTTTACTGGAATCGAGGTATTCCATCTTAGTCCGCAGAGGCGATAACGCATCTGCATTTTGATTCTTAATCGAGGTTATGTGTGGTTCTAAGTCGAGGTAGATGTCTATGGGCCACAGCATCCACTTAACATCCCAGAAAAAAAGAAAAATTTGTTAAAATACGTAGTTGTATTTGTGTAAATAAATGATCAAACACGATTATTTTAAATCTAAACAACGTCACTTTAATTGACCCTATCCAAGCAAAGCCATGGCGGGTCGCTATTCTTTATATATAAAATTCGTGTGTTCGTAATTATTCTTCCTCTAATACGGTAGACCTATTTTGATGAAATTTATTAGGTACTTATGGAGTCACCTGGACGGAATTTAGCTATAGTTGGACCCGGTAGGTGACGCTGTTGTTGACATTTAGAATCTACCTGTGCGAATCAGGTCCGCTCGCTAGTTTTTTAACTGACTTCAAAAAGGAGGAGGTATTCAATTCGACTGTATGCTTTTTTATGTGTTTTAACTTCAACTTTTCTCTGGGTCAACCGATTTTGATTTTTTTTTATTTGTAAGCTGGTACTTCTCGTGTGGTCCCATATAAATTAGATCAAGAATTTCAGGATCTGACCAGTAGTTTTTGAGTTAGCCTTAATAATGCGTATTTAGTTGACTTCGACTACATTGACGAAGTTCTCATTTTATTTACATTGAAGTCGGCAGAATCGAAATTCAATTATTGCTTCAAGTAGACTTGTTATGCACACTGATAACCGTGCACTGTCAAGTTAACCGGACGCCGCTTCAAGCGCGCTGCAAACTTGACGGTAAATTGGATCGTGTATGACATTCATAGACCAGGCAATCTTGCGGTGCGGTGCGGGCCGAGACACGGGCGGAGGGCTTCCGAGCGGCCGTAAGTCGCTCGGGAGTTGTCCGCTAGAGTTGTCCTGTCACGCAAATCAATTAAAATGTTTCACACTACATGTGCGGTGAAAATCTGTGGATCATCCTCATTTAAACCTAAGGAATTAAAGTTCATCAGTTAACACACACACAGGAATTTGTTTAAACGCGAAATTACATAAAATCAGTTTTTTATAATTTTTTTTATAACTTACCGTTCTGTCAACCCTAGCCTACTCTAAAGGGACATAAATGTCGGCTTTTCCAACAATATCAAACGCGATGATTGACTGTATGTTCCCCCCTTAGGCTGTCGCTTTTCTATATGAGCAACCACGTCTCATAAAACATACAACGTAATGTACTATAAAGTGACTATTATTTTGATGTCAGCTAAGTTGGCGAATAGACCCTCAGGTGGTCTGTAAGTTCGTTTGACACTTCGGTTTTAGAATAAAAAAGAAGAAATATCAAGTGAAAATTTAAAAAAAATATTTAAAAAAAATTATTATACCACGTCTTTTTTATACTCTTACATTGTCTTCTGATTCTGCGCTATGTTCGAAATTTCAAGTCTCCGGCTTATCGGGAAGCTAGTTTAAAATCAATTACTAAATTTGAATCTAACAAACATACACGAAACCGTGTTAATAAAGACGTGGTAAAACAGCTCAGATTTAATTTCACATTACCTGTGCAACAGAGGTTTGATTTAAGGCGAACAACACGGGTTCAGTCCCCGCAAGCGAGTGTAAAGTTGTAATTACTATTGCAAGTGCTGATTTACCATGTGCTCGGCAGTGAAGGAAACCAGCATACTTTTTCCAGAAGTATCCAGCTGATACAGAAGAAAAGACAACAATATTATAAAAACAACATACTTATCCATAGTAGTCGACGGATTGTCCTCATCTTCCCTCTTTTTCACAGCTCTAACCGGCTTCACTTTCTTCTCCATTCTCTCTTCTCTCAATTTCTTCTTCTTCGCTTTACTCTTCGGCTTCACGTACACCTCGCTCAGTTTCTTGTCGTCATCGCTGTCAAAATTGTCATTATACTCATGTAGGAAGATTTCGTTGTTCTCATCTTTCACTTCCACTTCCATTATTGGCGGTATATCCTCCGTTTCTTGCTTTACTTCGTCTTCAGCGGCGACGTCATGACTATCGTAATTGACGTCATGGCTGTCTTGTGTGACGTCGTCAACGCCGTTCAGGTCATTAACCTCGGTCTTGAATACGATCTCGTTGTCGCGCACGTGCAAGTCGCAATCGTTCGCGTCGTACAACTTTTGTATCAACGGCGACTTCAGACCGTTTGTCGTTCGATTTATTGACTTGACGTCGCGTATTGTGATCTAAGTTGGACAAAAAGATGTAATAAAAATTAAAAAAAAACATGCATTCATTATCTCTCAGGCCAAATTCTATAAATGTATATGTTTGGTCTCTTTTTAGTGTCACTATTTCGTTACATCGACTTTCAAATCACAACGACTCTAAAGACGTTTTCACCTCAAAAATCAAGTATATATATAATGTATCTCACTCCTCTATTCTGAGAGGTTTTTGTATAATTCTTAACATGTTTCTGTAATTTAATAAGTCCATCATTCTATTTCGTCCAGGAGTTTTATTAAAAAGGTTCAAATACATATTGATCTGTGCTTGAAAATTTGCACAGAACGAAGAGTACATAATCACTACCATGGAATATAGAGATAAGGAGAATACCGTATCTGTGTATTAAAGTGTCCGTAGGAAAGTGTTAAATAAGGATGATGCCACTGTAGCTAGAATGAAAATTTAAAAGAACTTTTTACTGTACAAACTTTCACCATAATTCTTTTTATCATAATTATTTTATTGTTTTCAAAAAAAAAATCTTTTTAAAATCACTCGCTTTCACGAGTTTCACGGCAACTTTTTCTAGGTAAATATACTAAATTATTTTAGACAACGTGAGTTAGTTGAGGTTTTAAATACTTCAGTTACATCAACTACTAACCCCGTCGACAACTGTTAAGTTCATTTTAGCTACTACAGCGCTGTTGTGGAGTTTTTGAAGTGTTATTTACTGCTTACAGATGGATACTTGTTTAACTATGGAAGCGACTGTAGCCTAATTGGCAGGGCGCGGATCGCGAACTCAAAAGGTCGTGGAATCGAATCCGCCATTTGACTACTGTCGTGAACCACTCCTAACACAGATTCAAGAGGAGTGGTCAAAAGGAATATTAGTAATGTTAATTAATAAGATAACTAATATTTAAAAAAAATATTCTCCTATGTGAGATGGTTCTTCTTACTCTACAATCCATGATTCAAAAGGTTTAAATACATAATGATCTGTGCTCGAAAATTCGCAGCGAAGAGTACTCGTATATCAGCACTACGTTTTAGCACAAAGTAGCCAACGAAAAATTACTGACAGATTAACGGAATGATCTATGAATTTTGTGTCAATTCAATTTAAATTTTTATTTTTTTTTTGTAATAAATGCTTTAGTCCTTCACCGTTACTCACGCTCCACGAGTTACGGAGAGGACTATGCTCGTGGTTTCTCTGCCTGATAAAACTAGGAATGAGAATAGGTCCGACATAGCAAAACAGATTAGTAAGCTGTAATGGGCAATGCCGATCATATGGCTCGAAACACCGACAATCGACAAGAAAGAAAAGTTCTCGAACGGCAGCCTCTTACCGAAAGGCGAAGTGTAAGGCAACCCTCCACTAGATGGAGTGACGATCTGGTAAGATATGCAGGAAGTAGATGGAAGCAGGTGGCTCAGGACCGTAATTTGTGGCATTCCTTGGTCGAGGCCTATGTTCAGCAGTGGACTTGTGAAGGGCTGTTGTTATGATGATACTAGATATCTGTATATTATATATTAACGTGCAGTTAAAATTGAAACACAACTTGCTTAATATACAAACTTTTAAAAAAAATGGTCCAATTTCGACCCCTGGGCGACCACTAGTAAAAAAAAAATTACTTAATTACTTGACACTAGCAAAATTACAACCGTGCGAGTCCATTACAAAATAAAGAAAGAAAGCACTTACATATCTCTCCGTGTCTAAAGATGCCAGCATTAGTCGGTGACACGTCAAAGCCTTATTTCTAAATCTTAAACTTGAAAGCAATCTGTGGGCGCACTCCCAGCATATCTTCTGTGGTAATTTGTCTTCTCCACTCAGCTTAAAAATCACATAGGCAATTAAAATAACATATGACTGCTGGGCACAGTCTTCTAGTTTTTTTTAAACGATTAGAAGCCTCGGCTTGACCACTATCCCACCAGCAGGTGGTGATTTTTTTTGTAAGATAGGGTCCCAAACGAGCACACAGTCCACCTGATGGTAAGTGCTTGCTATGGCCCAAGGACATCTACATCTATCGTCCATCACGAATCAAAATGCAGATGCGTTGTCACCCGTGAGGACTAAGATACAATGCCTCGTTTCCAGTAAAAGGGGTCTCCGGTTCTCTACACTCACCATACGAAACACAGCAGCATTAAGTTACTACTTTACGCTGTTATTCTGTGGAAGCGTGATCCTTCCCCGGTCGAGCCGACCCGTATGCTGCAACAATACTACTAATATAACTGCCAAAACCTATTCACTCTTGCCTTGATACTTTAACTACCGAATTAATTCTCTGCAACGGCTATCCGCTAAGTCTTATGAGCCCCATGATACGGAACGATCCGTCGTTACAATCAATCTGAAAGGATATCGTGACGATAGATCGCTTAAAGCTTACCGCTCACACACGAAACGATTGGTCGTTGCGATCGATCATTTACTTGTTTGAAAAAGAACGGCAAAGACGTAACATACAGAAAATGAGCTTCTTTTCTATGCCCATTTGGCGGTAAATTTAATACGGCTACATAAAAATTGAAAACGTAGAAAAGTGTGGGTTAAAAAGTGGCTAATAAAACAACATCAATATTTTTTTATAAATATTTTAAAGGAATAGAGGTTCCACTTAAAACACTGGCACAGTTTATGAGATTGACAGAACCGACGTATCTTCCTCGTCGATCGCAAAAATCCCTACACAGTCGATTTATCGTTACGATATTCATGATTGATGCATGGCTTGGTTGCGATCTCAGATCTTCCTGCTGTGTTTCGTGTGGTGAGTGTATAGATCCGGAGACCCTTTTTTACTGGAAACGAGGCATTCCATCTTAGTCCTCAGGCGTGACAACGCATCTGCGTTTTGATTCGTAATCGAGGATAAATGTAGATGTCTATGGGCCACAGCATCCACTTACCATCAGGTGAACTGTGTGCTCGTTTGTCACCCTTATTCTATAAAAAAGGAGTTATCGTAGTGCCGTCAGTGAACATTTATACAGAGGCACTCGCTCGTCATAACCTGCACATGTTCGACAAGTGATAACATTGGAGTCACGCTAAAGACTCAGTGGCGCCGTAGCTTAGTAATGAGTTGCGGCGCTGATGGTCGTGGGTTCGAATGCCGCACGGAACAAGTATTTGTATGACCTGCAAATAATTGTTCCGGGTCAGGATGTTTGTCCTTTTGAAATATGCAAATGTAAACTGCCTCCCCGATACTGAAGAAAATCCCATAATGTTTCTTCTTTTATTAAAGTCAAACATGAACTATCACTACATAAGCACAATAATATGTTTTTGTTCATGAAATGTAGTGAACACCCATTATACTGGAAACGAGGCATCTCACCTTCGTCCTTAGGATAGACAACGTAACTGTATATTGATACTTAATAGAGAATAGATGTAGGTGTCTACTATGGATCACAGCATCCAATTACCATTTTTCAAAGGACTAATTTTTTTTGTTTATTTTCATGCTTACCCTCAACCCAGTAACCTGCTGGTACGCGCTGTCTAGTTTGTACTCCATGATGTGGTACAGCTTGGTATCCGTCGCCAGGCACACCCTGCATACCTGATGAGAGATAGTAAAACATTTACGATATTAATTATTGAACAGGGTAAAAGCCGGATAGTTGCCTCAGATAGAAATATGCCCCGGCTTTGGATACGCTATGTTAGGAATATAAGTTGTATTAGCGCTTGACAACAATAAGAAGTGACCCCCTACAGACCTCAGTGCCGTGTACATAGATAATATACTATATAGGGTAAAGATGAGCCACTCTTACAAATTATTTGGTGACGATACGATTGTTTCTTCTGCGCTGTAATAGATGGCGTTGGGATTTAAAATTACCCAAAAATATACTAGAAAGCGCTATCGTCTTGGTTCGATTTGATTTCGTATATTTAATAAATAATAGGAAATGTTCATTCAATTCATTCGCTATATACAAAACTTTCTATAAGGTATTCATTAGTATATCATGACACGACTTGCATTGTTTATTATCTAAAATTTATACCGCAACATTTTAAACTTTGATAGCGTGATTTAGGTTTTATTATAAATAATAAATGTTAGCAGCGGTGCAATCTTTTGAGAAGAATGTGTAATAATAGTAGGGAAAATAGTGCTTTTAACGACTGTCATCAGAAGAGCCTCCTGCAAAGATACCTATTGCTCGTATAAGATGCAGTGTACCCTGCACAAAAAGACCGTAAAACAACGCATACTTGCCAAGGTTGCAACAAATATATTTCCCAAGCACATCGTATCTTTATGCAGTGATTGTATAAACAATGACGATTCAAATTAACTTTTTTATATTTATTTTCAAAGAATTACTAGTAGTAGTACTAGTAGGATATATTCGAAGTGTCAATTGTAACCAAAAATACTGGTAATTTGTTAGTTAAGATGAAATGTTTGAAAAAATGATGAAATGAATGAAACTGTAAGGGATCTCAATTTTGTTAACGTTTTTGTGAGTTTATGGAAAAGCTTACAAACCTAGAATAAACATTTAATAACTATTAAGTTTATTCTTTTATTTATAAGTTCAGAGTACAAATAGATCATATAGTAATATAGATTACCAAAAATTCGAATAAACATGAAAATATCACATTTTACATATACAGGTCATATTGACCCACCTCAATGTCCGTGTTACAATTTTCTACGACAATGACGCCGACTTAATACAGTGACGCAGGCACGTAAAAAGGACTTTGATTATCTCTTCTCCGGATATAGTTCGTATAGTTTAGTGATGGCCGCGAATAAAATTTGCTGTATTCCAGGAAATACCAAAAGCCGTGAGTAAATTAATTATTTACAGGTTCTACCAGTCAATATATAATTTCTCTTTCTATTTTATATATAAATTAGTGTCACCTTAGGGAAGCTTTATGGTAACAAGTGCAGATGCAGGTAGCCCAAAAGTTCTGCATCACTTTTTTACCCTACGGGCTACTGTTGTGCTATTTATACTTATAACACTACTAATTATCCTACTGTCTTTACACTTTATAAAAACACTTCTAAAGTATTTAAATAAATTGTAGATGAAGATGACTTTGTACTCAACAAATTTGCGAATCCTACAAAGGATCCAACACGCTTTTGTACGTGGATACAAGCAGTTGGTGGAAACCTTCTGTGCTTCGATGATATGTATGTGTTTGAGTACCGAATAATTTTTCATATACATTTTGAATCTAAATACTAACTAGACCAGGAGTAAAATGTTAAGTAATATTGCAATGCCAATATTGCATATGAAAGGTTAGTAAAGATTTGCATTAACAGTGTTGTACTGATCTATTCTTAATATTGTGAATGTTAAATATGGAAGTTTGTTCCTCAAATAAATAATTTTACTATTAAACGTGAATTGAATGTATAAATTTTGATTCATTGTTTATCTATGTTTTGCAATAGTAATTTTCAACTTCCACGTTTACAAAATATGTATGACATGCAAAGCAATTTTAGTTGGAAAGTTTATTATTTCTAAGAAACTACTTGATTCAAATGATAATAAAAAGCTTATAAATTAAGGCTTTTTTAAAGGTCTTATGAATATCAAATTCTACATCAGTTCACAAAAATAAAACTTTCTCAGAGTACAACTGAAAACATAAAACCAAGTAAGTTCCAGTAAGTCGCCAGCTCTTAGAACATTTGCTTGTACCCTTCATTTTTACTCGCCGAAGGCATACGAATACATACGAAAAAAATCCAGACCTGTTTACCTAATTCACGCACTTTAAAAAATGGTATGAATCAATCGATGCGCAGCCAGGCTTTATACAAGAATCTTTTAAAGCATTAAAGTATACGGCTAGGATAAGGATAGGTTAAGGATACTAACTATAAATTGTTATGTAACTTAGAAATGGACGGAATGGCGATCAGGCAGCGTATTGAGGGGGACAGTAAAACAATGCATGGATATGTTGATATTATATGTAACCAAGGAACATCAGGCGATTACTTAGCATAAGCTAAAGAGGCGCTTGTGTTTTTGGTTACGGCTCCCAACGGAGCATTTAAGATACCAGTAGGGTATTTTCTTGTAGCCGGTGTTAAAAGAGAACAGCGATCTAGCTTAGTAAGGTAGTATTAAGAGTTACTGGAAGAAACTGGCATTGATGTAACTTCGCTGACGGTTGTCCAGCAAATATTTCCATGGCAAAGGAACTCGCATGCTCACTAAACATAGAAAATATAAAATCTTACTTTTATCATCCCCTTACAAATAAACTAATATCTGGGGGCACGACAGTGCCCCCGCCAAGTCGAGCAAAAAAGCGGCACGGCCGTACCATACTTTTCTCGAAGAAATTCAGGCCATTTCGCCCCCTACAACTTCGTAGAGGATAAAACTAGAAGCTTGAATTTTCAGTAACCAAGTGGACACTGTATAAACATGTTATATTTCAACAGTTTAAGAAGTACATATAACTAGTTAAAGTTTCTTAATTTTGTCACTCACTGTCTGACCGATCATCAAAACTCTAAGGCACGTCTAGGCGTAGTAGCACCGCATGCGTAGTCGAGGCGGCGCGAGAATGAGAGGGAGGATAAGCTACGGTGCGTGGGCGGGAGCGGGACGGGCGTCGGTGTTTCCTATCACTTCACCAATGAGAGCGTTCTATTATTTGTTTACTTCATAAACTAAAAACAATATTCAGTCTGCATGATTAGTTCAACCAGTTAGCTTCTAAGCTAAGGTGTGTTAGATTGTTGTGATTTTCAAGTTGTTTTATTGTTTTACAATGGATAATAAAGAGAGAAAGCTTTGTAAGTTTTCGGAGATTATAGCAAGTAAATTTCCTTGTCTCGTGGAAGGCCGCAATGAGTCGGAAGCTAAGTGTAAGGTATGCGACTGTTATTTTAGTTTTGGTTCTAGAAGTATCAAGGATGTGCAAAGACACATGGAATCTGAAAAACATAAGAAAATGTCTAAAGCAGTGTCTTCCAATAGTAAGATGAATACATTTTTCAAACCAACCCTAAATATTATTCCGGAAAGAAAAGCCGCTGCAGAAGCTACGTTGGCTTACCATACTGTAAGACATCACCAGTCGTATAAGTCTATGGATTGCACAGGAGGATTATTGAGGAAATTATTTTCTGACTCAGAGGTGGGAAAGACGATAACCTGCGCCCGGACAAAAACCGAAGCAATTGTTAACAATGCTATTTCCCCCCCATGTAATGGAAGGTCTTGTGGAAACATTGAAATCTGATTCTGTATTATATTTTGGTCTATCAACTGATGCCACCAATCACGGAGCTCAAAAAATGTTTCCAATAGTAATACAATATTTTGATTACCGCGATGGCGGAATAAAGACTAAAATTTTAGAAAAAATAACTAAAATTTAGAAGTTTCGTTTGGCAATACATCGAGTTCTTCTAAAATAAACTAATATTTTAGAAGAACTCGATTTATTGCCAAACGAAACTGCCGAAACAATCACGCAATATATTGTCAACACCTTGAAAAAGCACGGGATTGAACAAAAATTAGTTACTTTACTGCTGATAATGCCAACGTCAATTTTGGTGGCATTAATAGTCCAACAGGCGGAAAAAATGTTTTTGTATTATTGAAACAAGAACTCCAAAAGCAAATTGTAGGCGTTGGATGTCCTCCCCCCCGAACGGGTTCCCGCCTTGTCGTGGCGGGGGGGCTTAGTAGCCGTGGCTTGGTCTCCTACGGTGAACAAAGAGGAACCCACGTGGCTGGCCCGAGGTGAAGGGCCGGCCTGAGGTGGCCACTCTGCAGCCGAGGTGGAGTCGCGGAGGAAGAGGAGTGTTGGTATGGCGATGCGCCACTCGCCCTATCCTTCGCAACTCAAACGGGGCCGCACCGTTGATGCGGTGGTGGTGGGGCTGCGGGGGGAGAGGATTGTCGGTATTGCGAGGCGCCGCTCTCCCTACCCTACGCAGCCGAATCTTGGTTGGCGGCGGAGCCATAGACCAGATCCGCCGCTGGGGTCGGGAAGGCTAGTACTTCTAAGTGCTCGTTTTTCCTGGCCCCATGGCCTTTGTGCATCGGACGCGGGGGCGTTTGTTGCACAGACGTAATTGGAGGCCGTGGAGGAAGGAGCGCCATGTGTTCTGGTGCGCCTTACATGGGAAGGAGAACGGGGAGGAATTTTCCTCTCCCGAGGAGGTGCTGCCATGGGGCGGCAGGCGCTAGTAGGGCCGCGGATGTGTGCGAAATCGTTCCCGTAGCCCTGCCAATATGCGACAAAGGTGGAACACCATGGGGTTTTAGTCGGTGCGAGGCCGACATAACCCGTCCTTGCCCCCGCGAGGCGGGTATGCGTAGGCATTTCCCCATGCAAAAAAAAAAGGCGTTGGATGTCCTGCCCATATACTGCATAATTGTATTAGACACGGTGCAGATAAATTGGAAATAGACATCGAGTCCACGGTGATGAAAATTTATAATTATTTCTCAGTCTACACAGTTCGCACAGAGAAGTTTAAAACATTTTGTGATGCTGTTGAAATACAATATCAGCAACTGCTATACCACAGCAAAACACGATAGCTTTATCCAGCAATAGAAAGGATCATGAAATTAATCCCAGCCTTAAAAGAGTATTTTTTATCTGTCGAAGGAACTCCAATAATGATCAAACGATTTTTTGAGAACCCATTCTCAGAGATTTATTTATGGCATATCCACTCATTAATGCCTCTGTTTCAATTAAAAATTCAAGCTATTGAGAAAGAAGATGTTACTATTGTAGAAATTAACTGTATATTAAACGCAACTGGAAATGCACTCAAATCTCGTAAAGATGAAAATTTTAAATCATTGACAGTTATTCGACTACTGAACACTGGAAAACAATGGAATAAGTACCGATAATTTTAAAACCGAGATTTTGGGCCTGTATGTGGATTTAACAGCTTATTTGGAAAAATGGATGAAAAATATCGAAGAATTCTCTTCCTTCCGGTGGATGATTTTACAAAAAGAAATGAAAAGTTTCTCAAATTCTGATTTAGCTACATCTGTAGAATTTCTCTCTAAGATGAATATCAGTCTTGACGACGTGAAACTGACGAATACGAAGTTCTAAAAGAATATTGTAGAAGTTCAGATAACATTTTTTTCTGAAAGCTTAACTACACAGTGGTGCATATTTTTCAAAAGTAGGGATGTGAATGGTGACATTACAGAATTCATGAAAATCTGCCAGTTGTTTGGCACACAGTGCAAACGTATAACGTACGTTTTCTCTCGTCAACGCCCAGTGGAGTAAAGAAAGAAATCGGCAAAAGCAATATTGATTACTCAGGAAAATTAAAAAACTGTATCTTGTGGAGATTTTTACGTTTACGTATTAGAAAAGAAAGAATTGTTAAAAAAATAATGTACTCTGGCAAATATCAGTAATAAATATCCTTCTTCATTATTATCTGTTAGCTTTTACTTATTACCTACAGCGTTTTGCTTTAGACAGGCATTTTTCCTAAAATTCAGGCATTTTATGTACCATAGACAGGCGTCCCTATATTTACATATGTGTACAAGTGTATAAATCAAGGAAAAACTATGTCATATCGACTTATCCGTAGAACAGAGTCCGATGTAATCATGGAGCAAAAACGAGTTAAATAGCTAGACGAGACAAGAAATTCTGCAGACGTACGTTTTTAATTTCGGAAATATAGAATCGAATAACGTTATATCTGACATTAGCTTCGCATAAAAAGCACGGAGTAATGAAGCGACGCCCCGCGGTGAGCAGAGGCGGCGCAGGCACCCAGTCCGTTCAGCAGTCCGGCCGCAGTTTGTTGGAGGGAAGGAATTTTTGTATCATGTGGTTAACTTTTTTCGGTTTGATAAAAAAAATTATTAAGTGTTTTGCATGGATTTTAGAGATGTCACGATCACGAAAAATGTTGGATATGGTTAACGATGATGCAGAAAGGCCTGAGCTTAATTCATCAATTTCAAATGTTGCTGCTGTTTAGGTTACGTTACGTTACAGCCTATATACGTCCCACTGCTGGGCACAGGCCTCCCCTCATTTCTGAGAGGGTTTTAGGGCAAGGAAGTGTCCGCCGCGCTGCCCCAATGCGTGTTGGCGAACTTCACATGTCCTCGAAATATTTTTTTTTTCTTATTCCTCAGACATGCAGGTTTCCTCACGATGTTTTCCTTCACCGCCGAGCACGTGGTAAATCAGCACTTAAAATTGCAATTAACAATTTCATTGGTGCCGGCGGGGATCGAACCCGGGTTACTCGCGTTCTGTTATATTTACAGCGAGCGTTAACCATCTGAGCTACCACGGCTCTTTGTGCTGATGATGCTGCTGTGTTTGACGATTTCATTTGTATTATTTTGTGATACACACTACTAACATATATAATACATAATAATGTCTATATTGCTGAAGATTCTTGACGGAGAGGTATAGAAACGAATTTTTACTGCAAAATTACAATAAGCGTAATGCAATTATTTTACAGGGTAATTCAATCTTTCTCCTATAACAGTAAAACGTAGAAGTCTTATGAAATATTAAGAAGATTTTATAGGAACATTATTAAACTTCTAATGTGTAATGTAATAAAGTAATGTACGCCACATTACACGCTCATGCAGGCGTCAATCAATTCTATCAATCATGATTGATAAAAACAGATGGGGACTGTTACGCGCTGATGCAGGCGTCAATCACTGCATTACATGGCAGGTTATTCGTCAATCACAACCGTGATAAACGCGTTGTAAAACTGACAGCCTGCATGAGCGTGTAATGTACGCCTAAGCGTTTCATGTGAATATAAGACGTTTTATCGTTATACGGAATCTGTGACACGATTTATTGGTTCGATATTAAGATGGGACGTTGTTACTGGGATAATAAAATTAGTTAAGACGTTATTCATTTAAAAATATCGTTAAATATAAAGATTTTCTATTTAAGATTTCTTAAATTAATTGCTTTGTGTTCCAATATACGTATTATAAACAGTATTTTATGAATACCTAAAATTATATATAGTTTTTTTTTAAATTTCAGTTATGAATGTTGATGACAACGGCATGACAGTCAGGAACTGATTGATGTATGGGAAGAAGTTCTACATGAAGATGGTGGGATCAAAGAAATTACATGCGACAGCCCAATACCGAATGTGATGTCTGATCCGTCTGCCGGGGATGTTTAAATCAATTAACCTAGTATATTTTCTTTGGAAGCGCCTTCTAGTTTCGTAAACTCATACGAAACTTTCGTTTGATGAGCTGTTAGAAGTTTCTCACCACAGATCCACCCCACTTAATTTAGAACTACTTCTCCTATGCCGTCTTCTGCTAATGTCGATCTGCGATAGCACATTCCGCCCTAATTATGTACAGTTCCTGTGATTTCTTCGTCGTCATTTAGCACCACGAGTTCGCTTGCTACTTCGCACGCAAGCGAACGTACCATGACTCCTAAAACGACTAAAAAACGACAGATGCGCCCAAAAAAATGGACAGACCTTAAACGCAAATGTTTTAAGAATTTAGGTAAGAAATATGTAATGAAAAAGGGTAAAGCCGTAGACGAAAACACGATTGGGCCATCATACAAATGCCGTTACAAAGACCCTGATAAAATATCTCACCAACAGCGGTTGGCCTGCTTCACAAAATTTAGGCAACTAGGAGATCGAGATATGTAGTGGAATTTCACCATCAAATATTCCGATAAAATGAAGAAGAAAAGATGCCAAAATCAAGCTACTCCTAATAGTAGGAAAAATACTTTTAAGTATTATCTGCCGCTGATCACAGGTTGCTTATTACTCTTGCTGTTTCAACTCGTATTGCCGGCGTTTAAGGCGAGATTATGTTAGATTGCGCAGCCACTCTGACAACATATTCAACTTACGAAAACGCGTATTGGTTTCATTCTAACAGTGTAATTGTTACTTGTACACACGATCGTATCAAAGCTACTTTTGCACTAAAATGGAAAGTATGGCTGGACCGTCTGGAAGTAAATCTACGAGTAGTTCTAGAAAAAAGCGTCGGCATAGTGATGAGTATGAGTCTGACTATAGTGATGAGGATGTGTATTCTCAAAGAGCTGAAAAAGACTCTTCAAGTTCAGAGGTCTCGTCTAGTTGCAGCAGTGATGATAGTATCTTTGATACTAGACTGAAGCAGAAGACGACCAGCCGTGTACCACCAGCTCAACCTTCAAGGTCATCTGCCCTAAAGACCACAAGCCCTATACCACCAGCTTAACCTTCAAGGTATGACTAACTAATGACTATGTATCTGATAAGAACGCATTACATTAAATTAACTCAATAATAACAGTAAATTGTACTTAATTTCATTTCTTTTTATTTCAAGATCACGTGCCTCAAAGACGGCCAGCCGTGTACCACCAGCTCAACCTTCAAGTTCATCTGCATCAAAACGTGGTTTATGTGAGTCAGATGGAAGGCCTATCATTCAATGTAAGCGATTAAGACCTACATTTAGTGATGGCCCCCACGCGTAATAATTTTGCTCAATCGTGGAAGTTACCAGATCCAAATAGTTCCTCAGCATCGAAGCCAGCGCTTCGACAACTAGAATTTGATGGAGACGGTAGCTTTGAATTCAATTATGAAATTGACTGCCGTCCTACATCGCCGAATATCGTACAGGACTATGGAGATTTTTCCCGGATATACCAGATAGCTATCTATTAAACCCTACCTGTTCAACACCTAGCGTATCTCTTCTGAGATCCGATGCGATCACCCCCAACCTTTCGCCAGAACGTAATGACGCCTCTCCATCAATTCTGGCTGTTCGGAGATCTGGAAGTAGTACTCCGGACTTACCAGATATTTATTATCTATCACCCAATAACTCACCCTCTGGTCAAGGAGCAGCTACCACCTGGAGCAGTGATCCAAACTCCATGAAAAACATAGAGTTTACTAAGGAACAGGAACTCTTAGTGCCGCCTCCAACTGATCCTTACGAAGCATTCCGATTATTGATTGATGACGAGTTGTTAGATCTTATAGTTCGCGAGACCAACGCGAACGCAATAAGAGTCGGTAATGCACAAAACGTCAAACAAAACTCCAGAATAAAATCTTGGAAAGATTTAACAAAGGAAGAACTGTTGACATTTTTAGGACTCCTTCTTCACACAGGAACAATTCGATTAAACCGTTTAAGAGATTATTGGAAACGACACTATTTGTTTAATATTCCATGCTTCGGACAATTCATGGCACGAAATCGTTTTCTGCTGATTTTACGGTGCCTACACTTTACGTTTGAATCCAGTGAAGAAGACCGTCTCAATTAATCCGACCATTTATGGATCATTTTAACAATAAAATGAAAACTATTTATTGTCCAGGTAAAGAGCTATCATTGGATGAGTCCATGGTATTGTGGCGCGATCGGTTGCTGTTTCGACAATTCATAAAAAACAAACGTCATAAATATGGCATTGAACTCTATGTTTTAGCAGAACCAGATGGTACGGTTTTAAAATTTCAAGTTTACGCCGGTGCTAATGATGAGACATCAGGGCAAGGTCATAGTAGTAAGATTGTGTTCAAACTACTAGAAGAGAGACTGGACTGTGGCCATCATGTTAATATGGATAATTACTACAATTCTTATGGCCTGGCTGTGAAATTGCTAGATCGACAGACGTACTGCACAGGAACGTTAAGAAAAAACAGGAAAGATAATCCCGTCAAAATTGGCTCTGTTTCACTGGAAAAAGGAGAAAACAAATCCTTGTTCTTAAACGGCGCTCATGTCGGAAAATGGAGATCATGGTAGTGAGATGATGGAGACTACTTCCAAAAGGGGATCTGAAGTAATGAAACCAATGGCAATCGTCCATTACAATAATTTTATGTCGGGCGTTGATCTTCAAGATCAGATGTTGGCATACTATCCAGTCCAAACGAAGACGCTGCGTTCGTACAAGAGGCTGTTTGTGCATATGCTGCAAATGAGCCTCACTAATGCATTGCACTTGTACAATAAATTTTCGGCGAATGATAAATTAAATCTATATGATTTCCGTATGAAGATACTGGAAAAGCTTTTACCTGATCCTAATGACGTCAATCGACGCAATGTTTTGAAAGTGAAACACGAACTCACTAAAATAGAAAAGACCCGGACGAGACTTAAGACAGTAGGAAGTGTCACGAAAGAAACTATCGAAGTGGCCCGAAAAGAATGCAAAGGTTGCAAAAAAAGGGTGCAAACAATTTATGAATGTAAACAATGTGAAGGTTCTCCAGGTTTCTGTACAAAATGCTTCTGTCTAGCACTTTCCTACGTGTTTTAAATTACATGAAAACACAAAATTTTCTTGTTTTCGGATTATTCTTTATCCCTTTCTACCTTTCTGACTCACCTTTATTCTATGACAAGTATTCAATTAAGCTTATAATTATTATGTACTTGATACTTTTGATTCTATGGCTTTGGTTTGATTTTTGATAATTATGATTGTATCGCTCAGATTTATGAATGTTTTCCTTAATAAATAATTATTCAAATGCGTATTATATTTTATTTACTATCTATAGCCAATTTTACTTAGGGATAATGTAGCTTTTGAATGGTAAAAGAATTATCGAAATCTGTGCAGTAGTTTTATTTCAACCATTGTTGTCCCTAGCGCTCGGATCCGAGTAACCGGCACCTAGCGCTAGGTGCCGAGCATTCGGATCCAAAAAGGGTTATTTTTTATTTTAAAGAATTCAAGAAATAATTACGATAAACGTGCTATTTTAGAGGAGAACAGACGGGTTGCTACAAAAATCATAATATCATTACAGATGACGAATTATATACGAAAGAATAGTACGCACACACACATGCACACACACACACACACACACATGTACACACACACACACACAAACACACACACACACACACACACACACACACACACACATGCACACACACATACACACACATTTATGCACACACACATATGCACACACATGCATACATATATTTTTGTAATATACTTTTGTAATTTTTGGCTGTTAAAACAGAGTAATTAGTTTTCATGTATGGTTAAATAAGGAAGCGCAGGGTTTCCAAACACAGGCATTACTTGCTTAAATGGAGACCCCAGTCAACTATGTAATTAATCTAAGTTTTGCGAAGAAAAAAAATTATTTTATTTAATTTATTGTATTTTTAATAGCCAAAACTCTACCTACAAGGAGACTTAAGTAAATCCAAAATCTTCAAATTGTATCTTAAATTGTTCAACCCCGAGAAATACACCTCTCTAAGGCTACAAAAAACGCCAGTATCACGACAATGTCAACTCAAACTTCAATCTAACTTTCCATATTCCCAAAAAGGATCATTGCGACGAATGTCACGTTTTTCGGTTGAAAAAGAATCCAACGAACCAAGAAAAATAAACTTTCCAACAACAGCAGATTAGTAAACAGGTCGTAAAGGATTTAAAAATCAAGATAAAAAAACGCTGAGGATTCAAATGGAAACACGGTTACTGCTGTGTTCGATATTGAAAAAGTATTTCAGTGTCCTCATGGCAAGATATGCACATATACGCAAAAAAAGCGAACCTGATTATCAAGGTATGTGACACGATGGTTCCTAGCGAGGGTTGTGTACGCAATGTCGGGTTGTAAATAGACGAGAACCTAAGGTTTGAGCAGCACGTACGTAACAAAATGGGTTTATGTTTCGGAACACTCAAAAAGTTATATCAGCTTCGAACATTCCTGAGGAAAGAAATTAGGCTGTTATTGTGTAATAGTTTGGTATTATCGCATCTAACTTACTGTGACATTGTTTATGTTCCTTGTCTATTAAAAAAAACTGCTAAGACTGTGCAGAGGGTGCAGAATGCGTGCGTGCGTTTCTGTTAGTGTCCCCAAGAGACACCATATTATACCAGTTTTAATTGAGAAAAAGATACTGATTAGGGTAGGGTGGTGTAAGATTGTGCGGGCGATAAGATTGCGCACTCCTCATTACTCGACACCGGTGCGAAACACGCTGCCAACGTCAGTAGTATTTGGATTGCTTTGGATGCCAGCATGCGTTCCCGAAAAAATGTTGAGATACGAAAGAAAGCGGGAAGTCCAGGTGAGATCAAAGTTTTTGTAGCCCTCTGATCAAATTTTTTGACATTTTGTACGTATAACTGATGAAACACGTGATGGATTTATAATGTATTACTAATCGTTTTACTTGTGTTTACTGTTGAAATTTCGACTAGTGACAAAGTAGTTCAATAATTATCTAAATGATGGCAGTAGCCTCAATATGGTTGCGTTGGAGGCCAAGTATTTAATTCGCGCACTTTGAGGGTGGATAATATTGCGCGCGCAGACTTACACGCCACTACGTAAAGCGATATTCATTTTTATGAATAAATATTATTTGTTTTCATTAGTTTTAACAGCGCTTCACTTTGTTGTAGAATTTCATAAAGACCACGCAAAAGTGACCGTAAAATTTGCACACCTTCTACCATCGAGTATGCTCGTAAACGTATTGAAAATGGAGAAAGCAAGAGATTAGTTGCTTCGTCTTTAGGAATGTCTGAGTCAACGCTAAGATACCGGTTGCAGCAACCATAATGTGCAAACAAACTAGGTAGATATGGCGCTACATTTAGTGCAGAGGTAGAAAAATGTTTCAGTGACGACTTGATAACCCTGGATAAAATGTTTTTCGGCTTGACAGCCAAACAATTAAAAGTATAAAATACCCCATCGTTTCAAAACACATATAAAAATTACAGGGAAAGCGTGTTATTGTGGATTTATGAAGCGCCACCCCGAAATTGCTCTTCAACAGCCAACTTCCACTTGCATTGCGCGTGCTATGGGGTTCAACTGGCGACAGGTTGAACGATTTTATGTGAAGATGTCGGCTAGAAGCTAGAAGAAAATTATTAATGAAAAAGAAGCCTAATACAAAAACTAACGCAAAGCGAGCTAAAAAGGATTTTAAAATAACGAAAGAATTTGCCAAAAAAAGAAGGTATGGAGGTGTGGAGGATGCACTGAAGTCTTTGTAGAGCCTATTGTCGAAGACTGGATCAAGTGCGATATGTGCCAGGTGTGGTGGCACGAAAAGTGTACTGATAATTTGGGTTTTTGGGCATTGAATGTAATTTATGCAAGTAATTCGCCTAAACAAACACTGCGCAATCTTATCGCCACTTATGCGCAATATTACACACCGGGGTATGTAAGGTAGCGCAAGCCTCGACATCGGTTTTTTTGTTAATTAAGTAAAAAGTGATTGTTTGCTCAATAATTAGTATAATAGGTTATTCCCAGATAAGTTCTGATTTAATAATAATAAAGAAACCTGTGATTAATTCATGTATTTTATTTTTATGACCGAATTATTCGAAATTGCGCAAACTTACACCACCCTACCCGGCCAAACAATTTACCTCGAAATATGTGTGTTTTCTGCGTTACATTACGTTGCATCATGTAAAATCACCTGCCTACTTTTATAATTAAACTTTCTCCAAAAAACACATTTAAATCTCTAAGGGATAGGGGATACCAGCTAAATGTTCCGAAACTGAGGTTTGTTGGTGCCAGAGGTTGTTTAAAGCATGCCGCAGCCAAAATATGGAATGATTTACCACCGCCAGTTCGATCGTCGTTAAAGCACTCGCTGCCGACGTTCCGCAAAAAATGTCGAGACTGGCTGCTCCACAGGAAGTCGGTGGTACTAACTGACTACAAGCTTGCTTAATAAAAGGCCCTTTTAAAAACTACATATATGTTAAGGTTTTATTTTGTTGTACAAAAGCTTAGATTTTATTATAATTTTAAGATAAGATACTACCTACTACTATGTGCAGACTACCATGCATGAATGTTTAGGCTATGGCAGAATACCAGAGTCTGTGGGTCTCCTACACTCACTGAGCCATAGACTATTTTGTCTCCAACCATTAGTACTTTTTTGAGATAAACAAAGACTTTTATCATTATTATTATATTTTACTATAAATCTTATTTTAACTTCACGGTTTTTGACATGGGGAAAAGGAAAGCCGTTTGCTTTATGTGGAATAAATACATTGTTTTCTTTTTCGCTGCTTCTTTTTAGAGCTGAATTCTCCTTACTGATTTAGCGAAACAATATTAATTATAATAAGTACTCAACAACGTAATTTAATGTTTATCTACGTATAATTTCATTGCTATTAAATAAATGCATCCACGTCTTGGTGATTATGAAGGTTAGTTGTAATTAAATAATTTATTTTGAATTAAAAGTAAAATTTAATATGTTTAGTTAAATTTTATAAGTCATTAGCAGTCTGCTAATTTAAGAGGAAGTGCGGGTGGTCTTTTCTCCACAGAAACACTCTACCCTGTTGGTTGCACGGAAAACCATTCGTATTTTTAATTTTATTCGAGGGTAGGCTGCCAAGCGTTGTCCTTCCTTCGACCTATCCTTTCCTTCACCTATCGTTCCTCCGACACACCGGGGTGGTGGGGTGAGAGGGGAAAGAAGATAATTCTAGAGTGTCGCGTGATTCTCGCAACCAATGAGAAGCGCGACCCCCCGAAACTCATTGATAGGAGGGCCGAAGTAATATAAGCTAGCACATGGCTCTCGTGCGCTCTCTTGCCTTTGCGCCGCTGGTTGGAAGAACACCGCCTGGGACAGTCGCGTCCTAAAGGGCTCTTGCCCACGCACACCGCTAGTTTCAAGAGCAGTCGAGCTCCAGAAGTAACCGCCTCACCTAGTGAGATATCGTCGCGCACCGCCTCTTCCATCGCACCACCGACCAGGACCGCATTGCTGGGGCCCCAGGAGATCCGCCAGAAGTAGCACCGCAGCGTCCAAGCCGCATCGAAGTCACACCCCGGTAAGTGTGCTTCTTTTCCTATGACGCCTGCTTGAGTATTTGTGTTTTATTAGTTAATCCGCCCCAATTTCATTTCTCTTAATGTGCTCAAGCAGGATTCCTTCATAACCTTGGCAAGCAATAGGTTTTCTTCGGAAGAGTGAGTGCATTGTCAAGGAAACGTGCCAAATCCGCCATCTTGTTTAGACATCATCCGCGTATACAGTCCATATAGTGTAAACTTGAGTGAAATCACACCTACTAAAGTCGACGATTCTAGCGGTCGACCTGGTGACGTCACTCTGTGCTCATTGTCGAATGTGGGAACACAGTCTCCTTCAACCGTGTTACTGGGTACAGCGCGTATCGTAGTTAGTGATTCGCGTGGAAACGAACAAACTGTCCGTACATTGCTAGACAGCGGATCTCAAAGGAGCCTTATAACGCGGCAATGTTGTCAGCGTTTAGAACTGCCAATAAATAGGACACCTTCATGTTCATGTGCTTTTTAGGATGGAGATACCAAAGATATTCTCGTGGTTTTAGAAAATGGTGATATATCAGAAGACGAAGATGACAAATGTGACGAAAGTAATATCGATTATTATCCAAATGTACAAGATCTGAATAGGTTGGATGATGACTGTCCTGATACTGAAGAGATCGACGAAGACCCACCGAAGGAAGAGTACGTTTCCGCTGAGGATTCGTCTGTGGTATCTACTCCATGGCCATGATCATCATCCATCCATCCACTCCATCAGTACCAGGAGTTCTTGGAGTTGCAGCTTGGAGATAACGTAGCAGAGAACTTATATGGAAAAGACGTAATTTGGAATGGAATGAAGATCGCATTGCCTTTTTAGGAAGCTCAGAGCTACCACCAGAGCTGGCGGGAACGAAAACTCCATTCCAATTTTTTTCCAAATATTATACATGGCTCAACTATTGCAAAAATTGTAGAAGAGACCTATTTATGCATAGTCCGATACGGTGTTACTAGCACTCCTACAGCAATATTCGCGTATTCTACAGAAACACGCCAATTTTAAGAACAATCATATTCATGTCAGTGTTTCACTACCTTAGTGTCAGATCATACTGGTCCAAATATGGCTTCACTCAAATCATGCAAACTATGTCTGTAAACGGATTTGAAAAAATAAGATCTGTTTATGTGTGATTAATTTCAATGACGACTCAGAGCACAAACCAGTAAATCATTCTCAGCATGATCGTCTCCACAAAATAAGACCATTGGTGGACCATCTGAACTCATCGTTCGTAAGTGCTGCTCCATTTGAGCACAGGCTTTCCTTAGACGAATAAATGTGTGCTTCCAAAGTGGCTCATTTTATTAAACAATATTTGCCAAATAAACCACACAAGTGGGGATTCAAGTTATTTGTGTTATGCTTACTGTCCAGATCTAGGAGCAGTAGGAAATACCGCCACAAGATTGTGCCGTATGGTTCCTCGAAGAGTAAACCACATAGTTTACTTCGACAACTTTTACACAACACTTCCTGTGCTGCACTACTTATACAGTCAGGGAATTTATGCTCTGGGTACTCTCCAAAGGAATCGTCTTGATAAGAATTGTAAACTGCCAACACAGAAGGAATTCTGAAAGATTCTGTACCACGGGGGTTTTATGAGGATCAAGTGGCAGACTATGAAGGTGTAAATATAATTGTAACTACTTGGAAAGACAACAAAATGGTTACATTAGCATCTACTTACGTCGGGGCGGAACCGGCTGAGACAGTTGATAGGTACGACAAGAAACAGAAGAAAGAAATAACTATACCCTGTCCAAATATTATTAAAGACTATAACGCCTTTCTTGGGAAGGTATAGGATAAGAAGAGAGAGCAGAAAGTGGTATATTCGTATCTTTTATCATTTGATCGATATGGTGGTTATCAACTCATGGGTTTTACATAAAAACTAATAATAGAAATCAAACCAAAAAAAATTCTTTATGTGAATTCAGATCTGAATTGTCAGAGTCCTTGTGTAACTAAAAAAAGTATTGAAAAGAGAACATCTAGTAGCAATATTGAAAAACAATTAGAAGCGAAAAAACCTCGCCGTAAACCACTGAACACTGTACTTGTAAAAGATGTGAGAACGGATGGTGTTGACCATAACGAGAAAAGATGTGAAAAGAAAAATTGATGCAGACTCCCTGATTGTAAAGGGTTTTCACGCACTGAGTGCACAAAATGTCTAATTGCTCTTTGTCATACAAAAGAAGGAAATTGTTTTGCGGCGTTGCAGCGTTCCATTCCGAGGTACGTTCAACGCTTAATGTGGCCAAAAGGCAATATCTTTTTTTTTTCAATGATCTCTTTATTATATTACTTGGGAATTTCTTTCATTATTTTTCCTATTATATATTGGCAAATATGTACCCAAAAATATTTATCTTTATACAAAATAAAAAAATAATGCATTGAAGAGTTAGAGAGAAATTCTAGAAACATGATGCAAGTTAAATTCAAAAAACCACTTTTTCCAGGTAATAACAATTAACATTCGAATTTCATGATGGAACCATAACTTATATACAATCCTTACAGTTTTAACAAATGGTTTGAAATTAGTGTGTAGTCAATATAGTAGAAAAACTGGGTTTATAGGTTTTTTAGTGTGTATAAAAAGTATCAAAGATATTAATATCCATCTAATTGAACCAGAACAAAACTGCAGTACTTACCGGCCTATAAAATAAGCCAAGACCACATAAATCTAATGCTTGGTCACATTCGCGCTCATGGTGAGTGTAACACTAACCCTACAGCCCGACAATTTCAGGTTATTTATAAAAAGTTTTTAGTTAAATCTGAACTGAGAGACATAGACAAAGGCAATATCACATCTCTTGAAGAAATATCTGTTTTGAAAATTATTTTGCCTGGTGATGATTTTAGTGATAGTAACATAACTACATGTGATGACGATGACAGTCAGATTTGGAACCCTCCTAGGTTTTCAAGGCGTCTGTCAACATTCTCTTATAGTGATTTACCTTCATTGCCTGAAATAGAACGACGTAGGTCTTCACGAACAGCACCAGTCAATGTAGAAAGGCAGCAATCAAATGTACCAAGTACTTTTTGTACTATTGATGCTCTTTCTGAACAAGATTGGGTGAAAGAAAAACTGGCAAATATGCAATGGGACATGCCTAGTCATGATGATTTTCCTGCTAAAGATAATACTGTACCAAGATCTGATATGAAGGATATTTATGTCGGAATTTTAGCAAATGCGGCTCCAATAGACTACTATGATTTGTTTCTGACCCCTGACATTCTAAACCATATCACTAAGCAAACCAACTTATACGCAACACAGTGTCTATTTTCTTCTGATTCTTCTGCTGAATCAACAAACCACCTATGCACTCCAGTAACCAGGAAAGAAATGTTGAAATTTTTGGCTCTAGTTGGGTGGATGGGTTTGGTCAAATTACCAAGCATCAAAGATTACTGGAGAATCCACAAACTCTATGGAATACCCCAAGGTCGTACTGTTATGCTTCGGAATCAAGCTCATTCTAAAATGTGTCCATTTCGCCAACTCGATGCAAGCTCATTCTAAAATGTGTCCATTTCGCCAACCAAACTTCTGATAAAAATGAAAGGCTGCACAAAGTAAAAGAAGTATTCAATATATTTATAAAAACTATAAAAATGTCTACACACCAGGAGAAAGTTTGTGTCAATGAGTAGCAATTGGTCGCTTGGCACGGCAGAGTTATTTTCCGGCAGTACATTTCGAACAAAAGTGCCAGATAAGGAATAAAGTTACTCAAATTGTGTACTGAAAAGGGATATACATGGAACCTGATTGTGCTGTGGTAAATCGAAAGAACCTGACACAGAAGTCACAGAAGTCAGAAAACGTGGTTCTATCACTGGAAGGTGGTCTTTTCAATGAGGGCAGGACCATGTACACGGAAAACTACTACACGAGTGTTCCTCTTGCACTGTGAATGCGTAAAAGAAAGAAGCATTTAGAAGGGACACTGAGAAGTAACAGGAAACTTACCTAGGCAAGTTACCAGCACTAAATAGAAAAAAGGCGAAATAGCAGCTTAGGTGACGCTATCATAGTCTTGAAATGGCGTGAAAAGCATGATGTTCTGCTTTCCGCAAAGCAATCTGGTCTTAAATAGTCACCAAAATAAACAGAAGAGGTGAAAGCATAAGGAAAACCTGTATGTAGGTTTATTCTCAATAGATGTCAGTGATCAGATGACGACTTATGGATCAGCTTTACGTAGATGCAACAAGTGGTATCGGAAACTGGTGTTTGAAATTATATAGGGTACTAAGCTTGGTGAACGCTCATTTTTATATAACCAATAAACCCATAAATGGAAACTTACAATAACAGAGTTTCGTGAGCAGGTTATCACAGGAATGCTTGAAAAAGCCAATATACAGGGTGGGCCTTAACAGTATGAGCGTTTTATTTTGTCTATAATTCAAAAACCGTTAAAGGTAGGGGGGCGCGGGGGGTGTCGTTAGACGCGCCATTTCGTGGAATTTTTAGTCGCCATGGACGCGTTCTCGGGAGCACAGCGTGCGTTTTGTGTTCGCGCGTATTATGTCAACAACACATCTGTGACTGTTGCTAGGCGAATGTACCGCGTTCACTTCGGCTTAAATGACATCAGAGAAGCACCATGGGCAAATTCTATTCGGAAATGGGTTAAGATGTTCGAAGAAACCGGGTGTACAGTAAAAATAAATAATGCGGGCCGGAGATTATTTAACGCGTTCATGAATCGATTAGAGAAAATTCTCGAGAATCGACTCGCAAAAGAAGCCGAATCTTGAACATCAAGAGGACTACTTTGCGCAGGATTTTGCACCGTGATTTGCATTTAAAAGCGTACAAAATTCAGTTAACACAAGAGTTGAATCCTAATGATGTCAATCTTCGACTTAACTTTGCTAATGTTATTGTGGAACGTTTTAACAATTTTTCCAACATAATCTTCAGTGATGAGGCAAACTTTCATGTCAACGGACATGTTAAAAAATAATGTTAATAAGCAAAATTGCCGCTTTTGGTCCGAATCTAATCCCTGCGAGATGCATCAAAGACCTCTGCATAGCCCTAAGGTTATTGTATGGGCTGGAATATCGGCTAGTATCGGGAATAATTGAACCATACTTCCTTGAAAACCAAAGAAGAGTTTCTGTGACGTTTGATATTTGTCAGATGTTGCAAGAGTTTCTGGTTCCAGCTCTTCAAGAATTTCAAGGGTACAATTCTAGGACATGGTATTGACCGGATGGAGCCACTTGCCATACTTCTACAGTCTCAATAGACATGCTGAAGAAAATGTTTCCAAGAAAACTCATATCGCGAAGAGGAACATTGAGTGGCCTAGGAGTAGATTCTCCTAATGATTATTTTTGAGGGGTTACCTAAAAGCAAGAGTCTATGAAAATAATACAACAGTTGAAGAGTTAAAGCAAAACATTGTGCAAGAAATTAACGCCATTCCACGAGCAATTTGTCAACGTGTTTTTCAAAATCTGCGAGTGCGACTACAAGAATGTCAAAAAGCTGGTGGCGGTCACTTAAATAACATTATCTTTAAAAATTAGATGTCACTGAAATTTCAATTTCCTGTACTTTTTAAATGTATAAATAAAAAGACAATAAGATTTATATTTATTTTTTTACTGCACCCTGTAGGTGTATGGCGGCTACACCAACCTCATCAGTCAGTGCTAAACACTACTTGGTCACTAATTGAAAGACGGAGTGAAAAAGAAAGGTGCTCTGAATGATATAAAAATACGATAGGGAAGGGAAAACCATCGACGGAAAACTACGAAAAGCTTCCCAGATGGTAACAAAATGTTTTGTTTGTGAAGTGCCATTTTGTAAAAGTTGTTTCAATGATCGTCACTAACTTTTTTGTTGATTTTCAAGTTCAATTATATTTTGTCATTTCTGGTGCCATATATAAAGAGATATATAATAAAAACACTAAAATGTATTAATGGTTTTATTGATTACATGGCTCAGAATCCGGGAAATATCACCCTAAAATTTAAAAGCCTTATTTTCTTGAAAAATAACCTATCCCCAGACCATTTATACAGAACAAATTCGACAGGCCACGGCTTTTATTTTTGCATAATAAATATATAGAAAACGTGTGCCTAAAAGTCACACAGCACTTTTACCATGTAGAAGGATGTGTATACTTTTGGATACACAATGTTTCAGACACTGTGTACCAAAAAGACGATACACATGACACCAAAGATGTTTATAAAAACTGTAAAATGTGAAACTTGTATTGGTATGCTATTTGCCGACATATATAAGGAAGCAAATCATTTTATACAATATAAGGACAAAGGTGGGCTTATGTACCCATCTCCTGATGGTAATTATCATAAAAACAGCTTGTCTCGCCAATGATAAATTAACAATTAAAACCAAAAATGTCAAACAGGAACTCATGACTATGGATTTGCCACATTTCATTGGGTTTGATCTTTGTGATAATGTTAAGTTTTACTAATTAGAGCAGATCCCGTTGAATAATCACATTATATTTCTTATAAAAGCCCTCATGGAAAAATACATTAATTTAAGATTACACTATTTGACAAAAATGCCACCCTAAAAATATCAAAACGTCAAGTGCTGCACAAATGCCTTCACTTTACAGGTCAGTGAGTAAGCACCATAGCAGTGTTCCAAAATGTCTACTGCTTCAATCCACTATAGTATACTAGCCTTAATCAACATAACCGGATTTTTTATAATTTCTTATATTCACATTTATTAAAACTACTTTTACGGATTTTATCGCATTTAATTTGAATTATTTTTAATTCCCGACGTTTCGGGTGCTTTCCAACACCCATGGTCACGGGGAACTCAGGTGACTGACGTCCTGATGTCAATGTTAACCCGGAATACCTTCAGCTTTTTTAATTATTGTTTATGATCCGATCTACGCAGAATAAACAAACTGTATCTTGAAATCTTGCAGTGATATGCTTGGATTTAGTTTTAATTTTATTAATAGTCCCAAGAAGGTGAAAGCACCCAGCCTCCTTCTTTATTGAAATTAGGATGTTTTTTAATTTCAATAGCTTCACGTATCATCCTTGGTAGGAATCGATGTTGTTTCGCGAGGATTCGTGGTCTATCAAATCTGATGTAATGGTTGGGGCCACCTAGGATATGATCACAAACCTAGGCGGTCACTATTCGTTACATTTTCAACTACTGGGCAAATCTTCTTTTTTCTTATATTTACAATTTTACAGGTGCTGTTGCTAAAAGGCCACCCTTAGCTGAAGTTACAAATAAAAATAATACACTTAAAACAAGCTATACACAAGAAATTGCCTCAACATCACGTTATGCTCAAGAAAAAGCTACTGCTCAAACATTCAGTAAATTAAAATTTATTTTATTGTATAAATGAAGATACAGACAATATATTGTAAATAAATTTTATTTAAAAAAAATGTGCCGCTGGGTTTCGTGCTGGTTCGGGTAAAAATTTAGTATCAAAACGCCTTAATAGGGGGTTTTGGAGAGGGGATAAGGGAGGTGGAGAGGGGTAGATTCACCCCACATCTTTACCCCGCCGGAGGTGCATAGTATTTTTATATTAAATGTTAAAGATTTTTTTTTAAATTGTATTGAATATTTTCTAAGAAAAATCGCCTTAATAGGGAGTTGTGGGGGGGGGGGGGGCGTGTCCCCTCTCCGCCAAAGATATACCAAAGTGTATTTCTGGGTTTGCGCTATTTCTGGGTGGTTTATAAAAATAACCGCGAATCCCCTTTTAACCTAACCTGTCCGAGTTGGTGTGCTCCAAATGCCAAGCTTGCTTCGCTCGCTCTTGCACGATACATCAAAATGTTAACTTTTATAATTACTTTAAACATATTTTATCACTTCCACCATTGCTATTATATTTCATAATTTTCCGCCTCCACAAGTACCCCACTATCACATCACTAAAATTCTCTGGATCATTATAATTATCTTTTTTACGCATTTTGACAGATATAACTTAAGAAACGACGAATTATTAATAATTTACGAATATTTTTAGAAAATGATTTTATATATTTCGACGCAGCTCTAGCAGATAAAATTGCATAGGGGCACTTGAGATAAGCCCCCTTGACTAGTTATAGACTCCTCAAATTCAGGCGACTTGATACTAAAAACCAAGACACATGTTTTTACCATAACAGTGGTAAAAGTAAAAATAAAACTAACCTAAATTGTTACACCAACATGATGTCCACAAATGTTCGAAATGGAACATCACTGTTCCGAAATTTACGAGTAGTAATAGTCCCAGATACATTTTTCACTTCTACTGTGTAAGGTGATCTCGAATGACTGGACAACACGAAATTAAAAAATTTCTTAAAATTTAAAAAACAATTTGTGGCGAGTTTTATATTTTCTATTTTAATTATTGAAAATGCAAAAATGTTCATATTTTTATATTTTAATTTTAAACTATTATTAATTTATATTTTGTTAGTTGTTAATGATATGAATGTAAATAAAAATGCCTAACTTTTGTAAAATTTATAGGGGCTACACACGATCACTTTTAACTGTCAGTTTTGACTGACCAGTTTTAACTGACAGTGAAAACTGATTAAAAGTTTTTACATTTTTATAGGAACTATCATTTAACTGTACGTGTGTAGGCGGTGTTTCTTCAGTCGTGTTGCGATCACGAAAAAGAAACTGGTCTGTACATGTTTATTCTCTTCGCATACGCAGAAAAAATGACGCAAAGACTGTGGTTGGCCGAGTTTATAGAATTATATAGGAATGAACCTTGCTTATGGCAGAATAAAAGTAAGGAGTACCATGACCGAGAAAGGAAATCAGCAGCTTACAAGGTATTATTAGAAAAAATTAAAGAAATTGACTCTACGGCAACTATAGATACAGTGAAAAGTAAAATTAACACACTGCGTTGCACGTTCAAAAAAGAAGTTTTGAAAGTCAAATCGTCACAAAGATCAGGATCTGGCAAAGATGATATTTATATACCAAAGTTATGGTATTACGATTTACTACAATTTCTCACCGACCAAGAAGTACCACGATCCTCAAGATCAAATATTTCCAAGGATGACGAAGAAACAAATGACGTGAGTAAATAAATACTATTATTGTTTATTTTATAATTTAGTTTATTGATATTAGACTATTATAAAAACATTAACGAATAAAATTATCCTGCCATGGAACTTGTCCTTCATTCACGAAATAGTTCATAAAATCTTCCCTTGTTTTCTTGGCTGCATTTGTTATATTTCCTTGGTGTCTTCTATCTAAATCTATCATGTCCGAATCTGCCGAAGTCACTCCCTGTATAATTGTTCCGTTATCAAAAAATTCCCTATCAAGAATTTCAGGAGGACTGTAATTGGCTTGGTTTGTTTCAGTTAAGTAATTGTGTAGAACACAACATGCCATTACAACGGAATCAATATTTTTTGGTTCGATGTTTATTTCTGTGTGAAATATACGGAACCGAGACGCTAAAATCCCAAAAGCATTCTCAACAATTCTCCTTGCTCTTGATACTCGATAATTGTATATTTTTTCTCATAAGTATTAAGATCTGCTTGTCTAAATGGTTTAATCATGTCTGTTCTCAATGGAAACGCATCATCAGCAACAAATACGTAAGGTAAGCTTCTGTTGCTATTTTTGACTAGTTCGGCGGCTGGGATGTTTAATTTACTGTCTTGAAGTTTTTCGAAAAATACAGTGTTTCGTAATACTCCACCATCTGAAATTCTTCCATTTGTGCCAAAATCACACAAAATGAACTTGTATTGAGCATCCACAATAGCCATTAAAACCATGCTATGTCGGTTTTTATAATTATAAAATTCTGATCCACATCCAGGGGGTAAAGCAATTGAAACATGCTTTCCATCTATTGCTCCTAAGCAATGTGGAAAGTTCCATGTCTTCTCAAACTTTTCAGCAATATTTTTCCAATTTTGTTCCGTATTGGGAAACTGAAAATAAAACATTATATATTATTATATTATTAATTGTGTATGTATTATTGTTACAGAATGAAGACCTAGACTCTAGACCAGGTTCATCTTTGGCTTCAAACCACTCTGAATCTGACACAGGAAATTTAGCATCATCGTCGGAATCACCATCCGAGACCGACAAAAAGGAATCTCAATCAAACTTTAACCAATGACGTTTTATTAACTGTACAGGATCATTTTAAACGTCCTGTACAGCGGGATGATCGTTTCGATATTTTTGGGAAAAACGTGGCAATGAAGTTGCGTGATCTTCCTAAAGAACAGCGCATTTTAGCGGAAGGTATTATAAACGAAGCTCTATTCTTAGCTGAAATGAATAAATTGACTATTGACCACAAAATATCGGATCGAGCAACAATACAACAAATAAATTCTAACACTGCAGAATCACAGAGCATACTTCAGCCATACCTTTTAGACGACAATACAGGAGCGGTACAAATTTCAATCCCTGAAATGTCTATACCTTTACAAGAAGTAAACACTGCGGCTTCATTTTTATCTCAGTACATGCAAAATGAATCGTAGGCCTCTAAACCGCATCACAGTTTAATTTTTTTTAAGTCATCTCTTGATAATTTTCTTAATAATAAATAATAAAAGCAATTATTAAATGTTCTAAGTTTTCTTACCCTTAAAAATCTGGGCAAAGTACTTTGAATAAAGCCTCACATGTGTCTGGTATTATGCTGCTGAGGGCTTGAGGTGAAATAATTGTGGAAAACTTTAAATCTTCATAGCTCCGTCCTGTTGCTAGAAATCGTAACGTTGCTGTTAATCTCTCATGTGGCGAAATAGCATTTCTCATAACTGTATCCTTTCTTCTAATCAGTGGAGACACTAGAGATAGTAGATTGAGGTATATTTCTTCACTCATTCTGAGATAGTTGTGCCAATCCTTCGAAACAATTTTTAGTTCGGTTAATAAATTAACATGGGAATAAATTTTCCTTTTTTTAACCACTCTTTACACCACTCTTTGCGTATATTTTTTTTATTTTTATTTTTTAAAATCATTAATAAACCAAGCACGGCTAAAGCGTCGTCGTCGGCTGATGACATCTTGAGATGATAATGTTGTTTGTGGTCAAAGAGAACAGTTAAAACTGAACGTGTGTGGGTGCAAAGGACGTCAGTTTTAACTGTCAGTTAAAACTGGTTAGTCAAAACTGACAGTTAAAAGTGATCGTGTGTAGCCCCTATTAATTGATAAACCATATATGTAAATAAATTAATTTATGTACAAGCAGACACGCGCCGTGCACTTTTATGTATATACACAACGAAGAAGGCGAAACTGGTTCGGTCGTTAGGCCGCGCCTTCGGGGCAACGAGATCGCCAGTTCGTCCGCTTCCGCGTTGCATGTCGCATGTGTCCGTATCTATTGTTAACCTGAGATCCGCGCTTACGCAGTTCGTATTGCTAAATTCTCTTTCTCTTATTGTACTGTGTTCCTGGCTTCTCATTCGTACCTTCTATATTGGGCTGCTGTTAGACTGTAATTACTGTGTACCAGCGCAAAAAAAAGATAAGTGTGAAAATAGATCATTTTACCACCGACCATACACACTTACATATTTAATGTACAATGGATAATATGAAATATAACTTCACTAAAAATTAAGTAATGCAGTCACCTTAATTATTAGTTATAAATATCTATCATAATGTTACAAAATTTTAATTTAATTGCATGTGTCAAACATGGGTACTCTACTCCCATTGTAAGGATCCATCTAAATTGTGACGCTGAGCAGGCGGATTGACGATCGCAAGACCAGACCTCTGGCCCCATTGACGCAGTTTGCTGTCGGTCTGGGTATTTTACTAGACTATCTGTGTCATAAGATTTTCCTAGCAATTCCCATAGTCGTCTCTTACGACTTCTATGGATTTAAGGGCCAACTACTCAATTATTTATTTACTACTTCGTTGGTCTAGTGGTTGTAGTAGTGCGACTGCTGATCATGAGGTCCTGGGTTCGAATCCCGGGTCGGGCCATAAATCAATTATTGAGTTTTTCTGTCAAGAAATTCTCTGTAGTTGCCCGGAGTCAGAAAGTTGGCGGTGTCTCACTCCCGTGCCTCGGAAAGCATGTAAAGCCGTTGGTCCTGCGCCTGATCTTTCTCCCGGTCGTGTCGGTTTACCGTCCCATCGGATCACGAGAGTGAGGGAATAGAGTGCACCTGTGCTTACGCATACACTTGGGCACTATAATCCTGTCCTGCGCCTATGGCTAGCCTCCGTTGAGGCAGGCCGCCGTGGCCGAAATTCGGTCTGGAGCACATTATTACACAATTATTATTAAAAAGAAATCGAGGAAATTGTGGGGAATTATATTTCAATATTTATTTACTGTTCCCAATTATGATTTACAATGCAATCAACTTGCTACAATTGGATTTATTTTTTACTAAATTAAACTTCGAATTTTCTAGATTGTCTATGTAAATATAATGCTTTGGCATTTTAATTTCAGGCTTGAAGGTGACTAAGCCCAAAATGACTCAATTTAGTACAAGAATTACTGTGTTAAAAAAAGAAACTTAAAAGCTTGAATATAGCAAATGAGAAATATTCAAAAAAACTAAAGAAGGCAATGAATCTGTCAGAAAATACTACTTTCTTGAAAGCAGTGGAAAGTTTTACCGCAATGGCAACAATTTTTTCGATGCTTCAATTTCGAGAAAGTGGTAAACACAAAATTTGCAGACGATTCACACCGTAAAAAGTGACGGCGTTACATTTTTTTAAACGTGGGTCAAGAGCTCACATGATGTTGCAAAAGATACCAGGGGGTCCCATAATGAACTGGCCTGATATAGTTCAACGCGACATGTCGCTACATGTTGTGTTGCATTAAATAGTACGTTTATCGTGCACTTAATATAAGAAACATGCATCGACATGAAATGCTTAGTCTTAGTTTAACAGGCATTTGAATAACGAGAGTCCGTATTTTTTCAAAATGTCGAAAACTGAGTATCGAAGTGTCATAAAGTTTCTGTTTAAAGAAGGTTTATCCCCTGCCCAAATAAAAGAACGATTGGATGGCGTGTATAAGGAGTCTGCCCCCTCCTAAAGCACAGTGAAAAATTGGGTGAAAGAGTTTCGCCTCGGGAGAGAAACCGTCGAAGACTTTGGCCACGACGGTCGACCTGTGGAAGTGCTCACTCCCGAAACGATTGCTCTTATTCGAAGAGGAGGCTCTGAGTGACCGCCGTTTGAAGATTAGAGAAATTGCAGCAAGGCTTGGGCTCTCTAAGAGTACCGTTCATCGCACGATCTATGAACATCTTCACATGAAAAAAGTGAGTGCAAGATGGGTACCGAAACTTCTTTCAGCGGTACAGAGACAGGAAAGAGTGCGCTGCGCTTCGGAGTTTTTGGATCTTTGTGGCGAAAATCCAAAGACTGTGATCGAGCGGCTAGTGACTGGTGATGAAACTATGATCTTGTATTATGATCCACAAAGCAAGCGCGAGTCAATGGAATGGCGTTATAAGGCTGAAAAGCCCCCTAGAAAGGCAAAGGTGCAACAATCGACTAAAAAACTGATGTGCACAATATTTTGGGATTTTCAAGGCATTTTGATGGTGGATTTTAAAGAACGTAATACAGTCGTGAACGGCGAATATTATGCTTCTTTAATATATAAATTACGAGACAAGATAAAGAAAAAACGAAGAGGCAAGCTGTCTAAAGGTGTCCTGTTGCTCCATTACAACGCCCCTGTTCATACCGCTGGTGTTTCGAAGGATGCAGTTCGTCAATGCGGGTTCACAGAAGTTCAACATCCACCTTACAGTCCAGACATGGCCCCGTCCGACTATTATTTATTTCCAAATTTAAAGTGGGACTTAAGAGGAAGAAAATTTTCAAGCGATGAAGAGTTGCAGGCGGCCGTCTTCAGTCATTTTGAGGACAATAAATGTGATTATTTTTATAAAGGTTTAGAGATGTTGATTCACAGATGTCAGAAGTGTGTTAGTATTCATGGTGATTATATTGAAAAATAAAATTGGTTTCGTTTCATTTCCTTCATTGGTTCATAGTTAAGCCAATTCATTATGGGACCGCCTACGTATTTGTTCTGCTTTTTGATTATGATTCTTTCACCTTAAGCAGGATGGTATCTAAGGCCAACATTAAGCTTGGTATAAATGAAAACAATGAAATGGTTTTAACACCACATTTTGTTTATGACAGGAAAAATGACAGGATTACTGGTTTAGTTGACAATGGTGATTGTAGTGAGGGCAGAGGGAATAGCTGATAATGTGCTAGTGTTTATGATAAGAGGTATTCTAAAAAACTATATTTTTTCTTTAACAGCCGATATCGTATTCATTTAGTGCTGGCAGTACAAAAAAGTTGAATTAGTCTTTGCGATTAAGAGAAATATAAGAAAATTGAAGAAGTCTGGCTTTTAAGTCAGTGCTATTAACCACTTGATTGAACAAACAAGGTTGGATTATGTAAAAGGGAATCCGAAATAACTTGCTCACTAAAAATTTAAAATACACAATGGAAGGCAGACAGTCTGAAAGTCAGCTGCAAAATTGCAGTTTCTGTGCAGAAATTTAAAAATGACTTATATTATATACTTGCAGTAAAATAGATAAAATATTGCTTCCCTTAAATTTTATTTTCTCTTTCAGATCAAGAATTACTGCCAAACAAGTGTAAAAATGCAGCCAACATACTATTATTTTTTGACAATTTGTTTGACTCATTGAATTGTAGCTTCAATAACTCCTCAAAGAAAAGTGACAAACCATTGAAGCTAGCATTTAAAACAAAATCAGAGAATAAAGAAGTTTGGACAAAACTCATCCTCAAATCAATGAAATTCGTATCCAAAAAGGGTAATGTTGGTGTAGATCCATCCATAAGTAACTGGATACGTATCATTGAAAATATGGAAAGACTAAAAAGTACTTTATTTAATGTGTACAATATAAAATCAATCTGGTGCCGGCATTTTAACCAGGACCTGTTGGAGAATTTTTTCGGTAGTGTAAGAATCCGCCTTTGTAGCACTCTTGTAATAAATAATTTAAGCAGCACTTATTCGCCGGATCCTAACTGCGAGGATGATTCAGTCTTCATATTTAAATCATTAAAAGTCTTTGTTCTTTACATAACAAG